TATAGAGGAGGCTATGACAGGGGACTAGCCGGAACATTGGTGCCACGAGCCAGACCACAGTTTCTCGGCCACACAGGTCGGTGTCGCCATCTAAGGAAGCCAATCCAATACTCCATCTGCAGCAGACCTTGATTATTTATATATGTCGCCCATTGTAATCACAAGTCTCGGCATCAATAAACTCATAAACTTGATATATATACGTCCTCGGGTGCCGACAACGTATATTCAAAAATCTTTAAAAAAACGCCAGTGCCATTTCATTTGACATACTGTGCCTATTGTATCAGCAATCATTGTCATCTTGTTGCATTTCCGCTGACTGGAAACTTAAAAAGATCGTTCCTTTTTTTTTTTTTTTTAGGTCTGGCTCGAAATCTTTCTTAACTAACACCGCCCCCTATCCGTAACCAGTGTTGTCAAAATTGTTAGAGCACATAGCATTCTCCTATTACGCATCTCATCTTGAGAATAACAACTTTTTCTATAAATATCAGTATGGATTTCGCAAAGGATGCTCGTGTGGGGAGCAGTTACTTGGATTCACTCATGACCTACACGCTATTATGGACCCTGGCTCTCAAACGGACGCTATTTTCTTAAACTTCTCAAAATCATTTGATCGTGTTCCCCACTGTCGTCTAATACCGAAACTCTCCGGTCTTAATTTCGATTCGTTGACACTTTCCTAAATTCGTAACTTTTTAACTTTTAGACAACAAATTACGGTAACTAGGGATTTTCGATCTTACACTACTGATGTGACCTCTGGAATCCGACAACGTACAGTTCTCAGGCCCCTTCTTTTTCTTACCCATATTAACGATCTTCCAACTACTGTGTCATCTATTATGCGAATTTTCGCTGACTACTCTGTGCTGGATGTACCATATGGAAAATGCAACTTAACATCTCTAAATGTGATCTGCTTTCTTTCACTAGAAAGCGTTCAGTCTCGTCCTTTATATATCTCTTAAATAAGGTTCCGCTCTCTTCTGTCCCTTTTTACAAGTACCTCGGTATGCATCTCACCTCAAATTAACACTATTTCCGCTGACTTCTCACGCATTCTTGGTTACTTAGAATGAAACTCAAAGGCCGCCAGCCGCCCATTTACGTCAGCTAGCTTATAATACTTATGTTCGCCCTAAACTTGAGTACGCTTCGCTTATTTTGAACTCTCCTCAGAAGTACCTAATTAATCGAATAGAATCTGTCCAAAACCGCGCCGCTCGGTTCATATCATCGCCTTATTCTCGATTTGTTAGCGTCTCTCTCATTAAACAACGTGACATCTTCACCCCCTCGAAGATCGCCGTCTAACCTCGCTACTTTGTCTACTTTATCGGCTGCATTTTAATCCCGGTCAATCAGGCTCATTACTTTTAGTACCACCGAATATAATGTATCATCATCAAATGTTAGCAAAAGATTCGAAAGCATTTTTGGTTCCACAGCCGCATTTCACAACGCAGTCCTTCCTAAAACAATCAAGAACTGGAACGGTCTTCCCGAAGCCATTGTAAACATATCTGATAAAAAAAAAAAAAAAAAAAAAAAATGTTTCTAATGTTTTTTGTAATCATTTTTTCTTTCCACCATAATCCTCCACTGCATTCTGAACCTTGCTGCTTTGCTATTCTGATGCCTTTTGTAGTCTCATTTTCGCGTTAAAGTGCATATTTTTATTTTCACTGTAATCGTTTGTATTCCTTTATTTTGAATCACGACTTTTTGAGTTCTTGTCGCGCATGCTAGCATTATAACTTCATTTTCACGTGCGTTTTCTTTTAGCTACATAGTCTCGCTTTGCATTTTTTTTCTCTTTGTAAGCCAAACTCTTTCTTCGGTGCGTGTTTTTTTTTTTTTTTCATGACTTTTTATTTGTTTTTTTATTCGATTGATGTTTACGCTGAATGCACCCCCCCCCCCCCCTTTCTCATGTAATGCCCTTAATTGGGCCTTTGAGGTACCATAAATAAGTAAATAAATGAATAAGTCTTAGCCACCGTGGGGTCTCAGCCTTAACTTGTAAAAATAACTCGTAAGTGTCAAAACAAAATTAAAAAAAAAAACACGTGGAGTATTTATTGTACGAACAAAAGCTTTCAACAAAACTTAGTGTAAGTTTCGTGCGGTGCATTCTCTGGAATCAGTGGCTCGTTTTTGTTTTGTTTTGTTTATAAAAAAAATTGACCTGTTCTTGCACGTGTAGTATGCTGTCCGATTTTCATGTATTTTCCTTCGAGCACTTATTTGGGCCTTGCACTGTTAGACTCTATGTACGAATCATAGATCTAACCACAAGGTGCGGCAATGACGCAATTCAAATACTCTACATATTTTTACTTGCAGCTGATTCAGTCTGATGTGGCGTAACCCATATAATAATATTATAAAAAGAGAACTTTATTATTATTATTATTATTAATTTTGAAGCAATTTTCTCGTACGTGCGCAGGCCCGAAGCGAATCCTCCCGTCGCCTACCCGGGCGACCAGAGGCGGCGACCGCGGCCACGTCTCCCCGAAAACGATGCGTGCGAAGCACCACGCGGCCCCGTCGGCGCCGACGGCCTCAACGAAAGAGAGCGCCGACGTCCCCGCGGGGCTGCACGCCATGCAGTGCGCCGACGAGTCCTGCGAGAGCGAGAGTGAGGACGCTCGCCCCTTTGTCCGTGCCGTATACTTCTCCTTTCGCCGCTATGTTCTCCTTGGCGCAGAATTAAGTCACACTGGACGTCGTTATTAGTCATGTTGCATCTGGTTATATTAGCGTCTTCAACAACCTGCGTCTTGCGTGGCCTTTACTGCGCTTATTATTATAATTGTTATTATGGTAACGTTAACGTTGGTGTGGACTGTGCAGCAACTGTATTATTTTATAACACCTTTTCCTTCGGTGTGTTGCGAATTTCATCTTATTTTGCTACAATCAATCCATCTATGTGTATATGAATTCCTCCCTTTGTATTACCCGAGGGAATCCTTAGGGTGAATAAATCACTACATAAATACAGTAATAACGTTTCAAGAAATGTCGGCGCTTCCTATTCTCTGGAGAGCGTACCGTGAACCAATCGCTGCGATTGGTTGAGCGAGTGCGGGGAGCGGTGAGGTCTCAAAAACGGCTTCACTCGAAACTTAATCTGCGGAAAATCATTTAACGAATGAAATGTCATCCCTCTTCTCACCCGCGTGAGTGGTGTTTCCGAGTCAGACCCTCTTTCGGGCCTCATCGTTCGCTGGATGGCGTGCTTCAGAGATCACTTGAAGGGACCACGCGGGCAGTTTTCTTAGGTCCTTTTGCTCAGCCTGTATACCTTTGAGCGTGGTCGGCTTTCAAAATAAGAGCGACCTGTATGCGGCGCGTGCAGCGTCGTACATGAAGCACCTGTTCAGCTCCGGGAAGGACCCCTGCGCCGACTTCTACGACTTCGTGTGCGGCAACTGGAAGACCCAGAACGCCCTGCCCCCGAACCGCAGGCGCTGGGCGGTACAGGACCTGCTCGTGCAGAAGATAGAGGGCGCCGTCTACTGGTTCCTCGAGGGTGGGCATGCCCGTTATTCTCCCGGGAGAAAACCTCCTTCACACACGATGCGCCTCTATGCGATTTGAGCAACCAATCGCCGGTCTTTCAGCTTAGCCTTAGCGGCTAAGTTGAAAGGCGTCCAACCCCTTTGCCACTAAAACCACACGGTGATATAAAATTGATGCCATTCGCTTTTCTTATTAGTTTAAATTGGTTAAAACGAGGCTAACAATTGGTTCTTTGAGTGCGTCGGGGGCCGTACACGTGCGGGGTATTTTGAGAACGGATTGTTTTCACAACACCTTCGGAAGTTCCAGAGTGTGTGCCGCACCCTAACGCCGTCGGAACACCAGTTCTGGCCAACTGAATCATTGGCGACATGCGCGACCAAAATCGTCGCTGTGATTGGGCCTTCCAGGATTGGTCAAACGCTTCCTATGACGTATCGAATAGGATGATTTGTGCTCTCATCGACAGAAATAAGAGCAAAGTCAGACTCTCAACTCCGACGGTGTTGATTTAGGAACGGGATGACTAGGCTTTCACCGCGCTTTTTACGCACCATCGAATTTGACGCTCGCTTCTAAGAATCTTCGTCGTGACGTCAGGAATAGGAACCATACGAGGGCACAACCGAAACATCTGGTCGCCAATAGGGGCTTTTCGCAGGCCGTTCGAAAGGGCTTTTTGTTGATAGTGAGAGCCAAAGTATTTGCTCATTTGGTTACTCTAGCGGGAACAAGCAGGAGCTCGCGTGCCGTCTCTTCGAGAGAAGATTGAGCACGCGCCCGCAAGGCACACCATCCGCAGCGTACAATCAACGACATGCCTCTATTGATCGACGAGCAAACAATATCCCGCCCCTATCGCCGCGTGGTTTCAGTGGCAAACGGGGTAAGTGTCTTTTTACCTTTAAGGGCCGAATGACCGTTGGAACATGATACAGCTCGCCTAATTCCCATTTGCTAGATTGATCAAAAAATTATCGGAGCTATTGATGTATACCCGGTGAATAGAAAAGGAGTAGAATACACACTAAGTAACTTTTGAGAGTGCTCTCCAGAAATACCTGCGACTCTACTCAGCGCGTACCGCATAACAAAACCGTAGTGCTGTTTTTTTTTTTTTTTTTTTTTTTTTTACGTCAGTTTTTGGGGGTTAACGTTGATTGAACACGATTCCGCTGACGTAGCACCCGTGAACAATCTGCGCCGCGCTAGCCTCCGGTTGATGACGTCAGAAATTCAGCACTGCGGCCTTGTTATGTACAATGTGTCGTTTTACTTTATCTCAAAACTCACACAAAACGAAAAAAAAAAAAAGTTTAAATAAATTAAAAAAGAAAACCGTGTTAGGGCACACCGTTTTATGAAGGCGTTTCTTCTTTGGATGAACGCAGATTTCGCACGCATATACAAGGATCTGATGGCCAACGTCAGCATGCCAACGACCAAGCTGTTCGCACTTCTGAAATCCTGCGAGGACATTGGTAAATTCCATCTCGATAAAACGCACCGATGGGAATCGGACGTTAACTAAGAGCACACCCCCCCCCCCCCCCCCCCCCCCGACCTCCTTTTCCGGAGTTTTTTTTTTGTTGCTCCAACGCGCGCCGAGGGAGAAAATCGACGGCGCGCAGGGGCGCAGTCCGAGCATGCGTTGCGGCCAGGAGCTCGAATAGCAGACAGGGACCGCGCCGCCCGGCCGACCGCGCCGACTGCCGACATGGCTTGCGAAAACGAGCACAACGACACAACTCGCAGCGGCACCACGGTGCTTGATGAGTAAGAGTATACCTGGCCAGCTTATCTGACAGCGACGACGACGAGGTCTCTATATACCAGCGGAACGTGATCACACTGCAAATAATAGACCATACCAGACGTACCCTACAGATTCTGTCCGAGGCGTGTTGCTTCCATGTATGACAGTCCTGTCACGTCAGTCATAAATTTAAAAAAAAAAATGTCCGCAGACATGTCCGAAACATACATAGATGTCCGAAGCTAGTGTGCTTCGAACAAGCACCTGATTGGCACTGCTCAAGGTACAAAGAGACAGCGTATGTGCAACGAGCACCAAATGCGAGGTTACTTACAATTTCTGCTCGCTACCGGCAGGTGGCCCAAGGCCCCGTTCGATCGAAAAGGTTCAGCCGCATGCATCCATCCACCCATCCATCCCCCGCAGCCATCGTAGTGCAGTTTCTGTAGTTTGTCTTCGATGTTGCACCGACTCTGTGCTCCACCCCCAAGGAGCACGGAGCACCGCTGCTTCGAGTGCTCTGCGGGCAGAGCACACTCAGGATCGCCTGAAAGTATCATAGGCCCAAAGTTCAAAAGCCGCAAGCTCTATAAATATTCCAGAGTGAGACGAAGCTCGTGCACGCCCTCTCGGCTTTGGCGCTGCAGACGCCATCGATTTGAGGGGCTTCGCTCCCTTCCGGCACGTCTTGCGGCATCTGTACCTAGACGGATGGCCGCTTCCAATGGGACAGGACACCGGCGGCGGGAAAGATCCGGACCTCGAGGAGATCGCCGGCATGATGGTTCGGGACCTGTCCCTGCACCCCTTGGCCTTCGTCGGCGTCCGCGCCGGTCGCCCGGGAACCCCCACGCTACAAGTACGGTAATCTTGTATTTCGCGGCTTCTTTTGGGCGGAACGGGGAATTCCAAGAGTGTCGTTCACGCTCTTCGAGCAGATCTTCGCGGCCGGGCCATTTTGTAACTACCAGAATTCTCTATGAAAAGAAACCTTCCGGAAGCCACGGAGGGGTCGCTATAGCCGATGTTTTGCTGAGTGACAGTTTCTCGGGGTCAAATCGGCTTTTCTTAGCAAAACGTCGACTGCCACTCTAAGCAGCGGACTTGAAATGAAGGTCTTTTTTCTTTCATATATTTTCTAAAATCACAAATAGTGCAGAAATAAAAAAAAAATAAGTCAAGGCGCGGTAAGTCTTGAGCACCTAATTATCCGTCAGCGGCCAATGAGATCACGGCGTTAGCCGATATGAACGCCGAAGGACAAATTACAGCTGCGTTTTTTAAGCTTCAAGCGTACCTAATCTGCGGCAAGCGACTTTCGTGGTGCATAAATAAACCGCCAACCCAAAATGATAAAACTTGACAGGAAAATTAGCCCCTGCGATGAAGCCATGACACCGAAATGCAAGCCCGTAAAATCCCGAACGAACGCCCACCCCAAAAATATGAATAGCCTCGCGTTTGTTTTTATTATTACTTTTATGGTTGGTGGGTGTTCATTCGGGGTTTCAATGTGCGCTACCTAACTGAAAGATTTAGATGAAAGGATACCGTCCTCCGTCGAGTTCATATGTTAGCTTCGAACACCGCGGCTCGCTGGAATAAAAATGAAACATAAATAATTATCTACTTAGATGGGAAGCCGCTGTCGTTAACGGAAACGATAGAAAAACACGAAGAATAAAAAGGAACAGGAAACGTTTTGCGTCGTACAAAAGTCCGGTAAAGCGGTCGTTTTAGAAAATTCACAGTACTAAATCAAAGCTTTTTTTTTCAAATTTTAACTGCTGTTAGCCGAGCCAAGGCAATCCACGGCCCCATCCAACAGTACATCCGGGACGGTACGTTTGCACGAAGCACCCAATAACCCGGCGCATGCGCGATAGACATGCGCACACTCTAAGGAACCTGGAGAATCCAATTTTTCGCAAAGCACTTGGGAGCAATTTGCTGCAGTCTACGGAAAAGGTTCGGAAAATAACTAAACTGGAAATAAGTTTATACTTAAAATAAGTAGTGCATGTTCTGACGCTAAGCGTTCATACGAATGTGAAATGTCAATCCCGTTGTCACAAAGCGAACGGATTTTTTTTAATGCATTTATTGCTTCGGTACATGCAGCCGTCGTTTGTTTGGACGGTAGTGGTTTGGTTTTGGCTGGTTTAGACTGGTATGGATTGGACTGGACTGGACTGGACTGGACTGGACTGGTATCCTAAGGCCGCGGTGAAGTGCGTGCCTCCCGCCGCGCTCTATGGCTCTGCTCATTCGTCCGCTCATTACGTCGACTTCTTCTCTTACAAGAGAGGAAGATTCTTCTGGCACGCTTCAAATGACGAGCCGCGGGAGCGGGAGAGGGAGGAAGCTGGGGTGGCTGCATCCGAAACTGCCACCTCCCGGGAGAACAGACTGGCTCTCCGAACACAAGGGTATGCGGACCGCTGCGAGGTTGGAATGCCCATCCTCCTCCGAGTCCGAACCCCTGCGTTAAATGCTAACGTATTTCGTCGAGAATCAGGGGAGCGCAGCGAAAGCGGGGATTTAGGCCTAACTTGTTTCGTGGTTTAAACATATCTTCAGCTTTGCATTTTCTGAGCTCCAAACTCCGTAGATTGCAGGAATTGACTCTCTCAATTTTTTTTAAAGTTGAAGCTATCTTTATTGTTGTGACGAAAGGATACCGTTGTGTCAAGTTACAACCCAGTCCCGTCCCCGAACTCTTGGTTTTTCGACGACCCGGAATAGATCGACGAGCCCCAGCTGACTCTGAGCAGACACAAGTACTTCGACGTCACCTTCAACCTCGGCGCCTACAAGCTGCAGGTGGCGGACGCGCTCAACTTGATTAACGAGCGGAACGATTCGCTCGTCCTGGCCTCGGACATCGTGGACCTGGAACAGCAGCTGGCAGAGGTGAAAAGGAGATTGCATCTGCGCACGTACTAAAACAAAAATTTGGGTTGTCTTTATTTTTTGCCAAACACTTGGCGACGAATAGACGCTGCAGTCTATTTAGCGAAAGAAGGCCGGCTCACACATTGGCGTTTGCTTACGCCTGAGTCCTTGTGACCTGTTGCGACAAGAGAACACACTGGCACGCTGGCGCCATCTCTGATATCGTATTGGAATTATGTTTCGATAGAGCGAAGGTTCTGGAGTATGTTTCGAGGTCAAATGTATCCAAAATTTACGAGAAAGGATTGTCCAAATATCTTTTTTTTAATAAAAAAACAAAGATGCGCAAGAAGAAAACAAATTGAATTGCACGGCTATCTGATAGATGGCGCCAGTGCGTTCTCTCGTCCAGACTCGTGTCTCAGGAGATCACAAGAACTTGCAAGAAGGTGAACCAGAAACCTAAGATAAAAAAGAAAACAGGCAGCGCTGTGGCATTGAACTTGGTGAAACGCCATGCGAGAGCGGGGGCTGTTATTTTAGGTCTATACACCAACTCATGTTTACAAACAAACCGGAGCGCCCCTAGCGGACGCCACCGGCGCCGCGCATGCGCGATGGGGTTGTGGCCAAGAAGCTCGCCGTCGCGCATAAACAAACCATTGAAATGCGCTGTTGTCGCCGTCGGTGTGAGTCCCCCTGCCCTTTTTCGCGTTCGAATTGTTGATTCTACGTCTTCCGGGCGATGTCTGACTACTTCAGCGGCCTCAGCGAAATTACCGAGGCTCGTTACACCGCAAAACTTCGCGTGAATAATGTGACATGTGCCGATTCATTCCGCGTGGACGCCGCAGAATGTACGCTAAAGCCTGATTCGCATGATGAGATTTCGCTCGCAATTTTCAGTCGCAACGTCGATCGGCCTGCAAAAGCGTGAACCGTAGCTGAGATGGTCGACGTCGATGCTGAAAATCTCAAGCAGAATCGGACCAAGTGAATCAGGCATAACAAGTCGGTGATGGCCAATGGTAACAATTATCAATACATCCTTATATCTACTGTTTACATCGAGCCTGCTTGCCAACCTTCAAACTTGAGTCTTTTGAGGCCTGCACTTACTTCTTATCGCAAGCACCGGGCCCATGTTTGGTGTACGGGCCGGTGTCGTCTAAAAAAGCAGACGACAAGCAGAAACGTTTGAAAGAGCAGACGACAGTTCGAACAGTCAGGCGGCCGTTTGAACTTGAAGACGCACTGAACGTAGTCCGCAGGGGGTCCGTACAACTTCGCGGTTTTCCGCCGTTCATGTTGGAACAAAACAAATTAATCTGATGACCAGACGTATCCGTACATTCAATCCAAAGTGCTTCCCGCCCAAGCAATCGTGGTGCGACGGCGTCTGGTTTTCCCTTTTCACGGCACATATACACCTTCTCGGACGAACCGAGCACATGAAAACTGACCTTCAAATCTTTCTCGATTCTTCTGGTACAGCGCCAGTCGCGGCGTTTTGACGAGAAAGCAGGTTTTTGTCTGGTTCCTTTCAAAACAACGCAGGAATACACGTCTCGCATGGGGACTTCTGCCCACAGCCCCAGACCGGAAGTGCGACCGACGCGCCACCACCGCGCCGTGACGTAACAGAGATGAGTTCGTATATACCAGGGGTGGCTAAGCTGCGGCTCGCGAGCTAACCGGATGCGGCTCTTCGCGTGTTAAAGTGCGGCTCGCGGCTTCCTCCCCCCCACCAACCGAACTTCCCCGCCTCCCTCCCGGTCACTCAAGCACTTCCCCAAAATAAGAAATGGAACACGTCTTAAATTGAAAGACAGGTTGTGGTTTGATAGTCTTGTGCTACTACTTCCTTATGTACAGTTGAACTGCTTTTGACTCGAAAAGATTGAAAGTAGTTCGAGTGTTTATTGCTCTAGACAAAAGACCGCCGTTGCTTTGCTTAGGCCGTCGGTACCTACACTTCCTCAACCAATGACAGCCCGAGATTTTCTGCCTCGTCATCACGCGTTCCCTACGCGTTCTCTATGTTGCTATTGGATTAGCGTGCCCCTCTTTGGATTTCGATGCGCCAAAGGCGCATTTTAAGTCGCTCGCAAAAGTAAAGTATTTGCCTAAACGAACCTTACATTTTTTTTAATACATAACGTTTGACAAAAGTTTACTTTAAAGACGGACGAAGAACAATTCTTTAAGGCTCGTTGACACACTTGCGACTTTTTAGAACCGAGTTCAAGGAAACCTCTTAAAATTTCTTACGACGAGAAGACACACAATTTCTTTTGCGCATCATTCTTTCTTTCTTGGCTTGAAAAAAAAAATTGTCAATGTTAGAAACGAACATTTCTCATAAGTAGTACGAACATTTTACCTCGCTTATACCGCCAAACCTTCGCTCTAGTGAAATGTAGTTCCAAGGTCCCCGCATAGATGGCGCCAGCGTTTCAGTGTATTTTCTCATCGTAAGAGATTTTAGAGGTTTCAAGGCGCTCGGTTCTAAGGGGTCGGAAGTCTGTGAACATGTCTTTACCGTTCTCAGTGTATTTAAAAAAATTGATCTGCTTATAGTGAGTTGAGTCTCCTTATTGAATAAGAGCACGAAGAACGGAAAAGCTTATTTACTGCAACAGTTACATATTTCTTACAATTATTGTTTTCTTTTGTGAGGAGGAGAACCGTGATAAAAGTCATTGAGCAGGATAACTGTATTAAAAGAAGAAAAAAACAAACAAATGCGGGACGCGGGTCACTTGCACACACGCAAAAAATATTGAGATGACGTTGTCCTGTTTCCTTCTGTGTGTATGCGTCCCGTGCCTCCAAATATTTCTCTATGTTTTCTTTTACAAATTTAGAACCGCGCTGAGTAAGCTCGTATATCTTTCAGCTGAATTTAGGGGCTGTGATATTTTTTTTGCTTTAGTGTATTAAATTTACTAGGAGACCAATGTAATTATTTGGGGCACCAACAACGCAATATTGTTGTCAATATTATTGTTATTGTATCACCCAGGGAATGGACGGCTCTTCTGGTTGGCTCCCCGAGTCCACACAGTTTGACGCCTTCACACTCGAAGAGTTGCCCTCGTCGGACAACGTGAGTGACCTCGACACTTCATTGAGCGAATCAATCAGTCTTTCATTATGCACCCAGTCGGCCTCCAGGCCTCATCAGGGGTCACATACACGGGGAATGAAAAAAAAAATGACAACAAGAAAAACAAACGAGATCACTTCACTACTTTTCTCCATCGTAGAAATCGAAGGAAGAAATCGACGTCGAATTTTATTTCGCTCGTCGTACCGAAATTGCACTCGAGTCTTTAGAGAGTCGGACACGATGTTAGACAAAATTTTATACTTATGGATTCTCACACAAAGCTATTGTCGTGGTCAAGAAGCATCCTTGCGTTTTAAAGTACACCGAGAAATTATAAAATATTTTCGTAAACAAACGTGTTTTTTTTTATGATTAATTTAGTGTTTTTCGGCATAAATATTTATTTGCAGTTTCTGGATAAACTATATACCTCATTACATTAGGATTTCAGTTTTTGAGTTTTCTAAATTATTGACTGAAAGGTCGTTTCGTGCGAACCGATTTTTTTCCTAAAACGCGCTTAGATATTCGCGTTGAAGTTGTTCGGGTACTCGTCAACTTTATATGTTTTTATTAAGTGCGCGATGCCTGTGTTTTTGTACAAGAGTAAAGCCAGAAACACTAAATACAGACCTTGCAAGTGGTGTTTTCCTGATTCTTAGCGTATATCATAACCACGCCGGAATATGGTCCCATCGGGACCATCGATGACCGTGTTCCGATCCCAAAGGAACCGAAACGCATGAGACCTTCTCCTCCTATAGATTATTATACGATCCGAACGCCAGCGACGGTGACGACGATGGCTGCTGTGCGGCTTCACCACAAGCGTGTCTTTATTGCAATAACTCGATCTCCGACGTTCCGCGTGGCGCTTGCTTCAGTGGAGCTGGCCGGCCTTCCTGTCGGCCCTGTTCGACGACGACGCGGCGGTGACGAGCAACGCGACAGTCCTCGTCAAGTCGCCCAAGTTCCTCGAGAAGCTCATGAAGATCCTGCAGACCAGCTCCAAGTGAGTCCGGCGTCAAAAAAAGCTGCTTGAGAGAGCGTTTTGTAAAAGGCCCCCGGAACGAGTTGGCCAGCTGCCAGGCTGATTTCGTCTCTCGGTTCAGCTGCGTCGAGGCGTCTGGACGTTGGTGGGTCTTTCGGGAAAAACTGTAACGACAACGAAAGGATGTCAAGGCCACGCTTCCGCGTCGCGTGCCAGCCATACTTGTGTGCGATACTCGTTTGAAGTTACTTGCAATCGATTCTTTTTTTAGCAATTTCATAATTATTCGTTTGCATATATTAGGAAGGGATCATAACAGTGGCCTGGCGACTCTTAAAAGCATTAAAATTACTTTCCGTTGCTTCCCGTTTCTAATTGCGCCCTTAAAGGGTAACTGCAAAAAAATATATATATATATTTTTTTTAAACAGCCTAATTTGGACAAGCATGTCACAAAACAAATCTTCCGCTAAAAAACATTTTTTTTTTAGCAATATTTACGCCACAAGACGTAATTTAGTCGGAGTCACAACCTCTCCACACTTGAAACTCCCGCTCTTTCGACGCGCGCAGAGTGGCTGGAATATGTCACTCCGTGACGTATATCAGTCACTCCGTGACGTATAATACCAACTTTGTGGCGCGTGATTTAAAACGTCCGGACGAAATAGCCGCAAACTAAAATCAGTCGCGCGCAATAAATATTGCTGTAAAAACTTTTGTTTTTACAGCAATTTACACAAATTACACAATTTACACAAAAATTATTTTGTGACATGCTTGTCCTAATTAGGCTGTTTAAAAATACACTTATTTTTCTTTGCATTTACCCTTTAATTCGCGCAGGTTTTCTCGAACGAAGTCTCCGACAGGAGGACGGTTTATCAAAATTGCTGGATTAAGAAGATAATTGTAGTTCATAATGCGGTGATTCTAATCCAATAATGGACAACACGAAAGACCCGTTTTTAAACTGACATGTCGTTTTAAAAATTTTAAGTAATCAGAAAACTAACGGTTACTTTTTTCTTTAAAATAACGGCCGGTTATTTGTCCTGTCAAGTAATCAGGTAATGTAATTGAATACTTTTGAAACGATAATAATTGTAATTGTAATCTATTCGTTTTTTCGAGTGACGTGTACAATACTGGGCCAGCAGCAGGCCTCCCGCTGCGTTCGCCGCAGCGCCAGGAATAATTGCGTCCTGTAGCTTGGCATAGCTGCGACGTCTTTGATGAAAGCATCTCATACTTTTACTTTTATAATGATCTTCCAATACAGCCCAATTTTGAATTCTGAAATTGCCTTAATATTTTGAGTACGGTTCCGATCCATGTTGATATCGACTGGTTAAAGAAGATCCCACGATCGGTTGTTTCAGTGTAGTCAGGCACAGTATTCCCTCAAAAAAATATAATACCATCGACGGTTTAAGAAAAAAAAAAGTTATTTGGTTCGATAACGTATCTTGCGTGACACCTATAGGAAATAAAGCCTGGTTCGCACATTTGTGTTCGACTGTGAGTGACTTCGTTACGGCCGCTTGTGACTGCGCCCAGGTAGTCAGTAAACACTTTATCAGTGGCTGCATCGTGGCTGCTTGATATGTATCGTCCTTCTTGCAACTGCTTACGGCGAGATAAGACACTGGTGCCATCTCTGGAATAGCCCTTGAATACTTCCAATCTGCGTATGTTTCCTCATTTTTTTTTTTCTACGCGTCATTTTTTTTTTTTTTTTTTTGAACTTGAAATAATCTTGAATTTATTATGAGCGAACATTTTTTTAGAGATAGCGCGTAGATTTGATTTTGCGGAGACTCCAAAACCTTGAGTGTATTTATACGCGGATGGAAGGTTGTCCGGTGCTGCCTACTTGATAAAATACGCCAGCGTGACAGTGCGTACCCTCGCCGAGCGCAGTCACAAGTCGTCGTTACGCAGCTGGTTACGACCAAACACAAATGTGTGACATTAATGGGATCTTGCTTTTGTGGTTACTTTTACTTGGGCCTGGGATTATTGAGAGAGCTGTTTTTGTCGTGAGCACACTAAGCCTTCCCGCGCCTTTACCATTCTTTCGCTACTTTCACGAAGCAGTACGGGAGGAAATCGGCAAGTGACGAGGCAAAGAAAAAAAAAGGTTTCATACTGAGCGAATAAAAGGACACGCACAGTGTCACAACGCAGTCTTCTTTTTTCAGTATCTTTCCCGTTGCTCTTTTTTTCCCGATCCTCTTTTTTTCTTGGCTTTCTTTCGTGTATATCTTAATAAGCAAACTACCACGTAACCTGAAACTTTAGTCCCTTCGCTTGTGCTTCAGTTACTTGAGTCTTTCTCGTATTCTGTTGTTTAAACCTTACGGGTTGTGAAAAACGAGCGATCTCGCTTCCTAGCTCCTTGAAAAATTGAAGGTAATCAATCATATTCCCTCAAAAGTAATACAATTATCTGCTTGCTTGATCTGAAGAAGAAAGCAGTGAGGCAATTATTAAAGATCTCTCGCAAACGTTATTGACTACTACCGCCCAACAAACCACGAATGTAGTCGAAGCCCTTACACCCGAACCCTCAAGGGGGTTCAGTACAATAAAATTTAGACTAAACGCCAAAAAGGTTTCATTTAAATTTTATTGTACACACGCAATATTGCATCTATAAGACAAATTATTTTCGAGACCCTACAATATTCAGCAATGGTGCGGCTCATGTCCACCGACCTATAATTGTAGGCACCGGAATATGTACACTATGTACATTAAAGGCTAAATGAATCTAACCCATTTTAAATAAATATCAAAATTCAGTTTTGCAAGCTCCGATATTCTAATTTTTCACACAAGGCGTGATGCACTGGTTTTCTGAAAGATATCCCTGTAGATGCATATGCCTAAATCACAAGTTACAAATAAAAATAGAATTTTCCAAGGACTCGGTATGGAGTTAAACCCTTTAAGTTTATAAGCGAAAAGGCGTTCCTAGAAAAAACATTGTTTTTTGGGTGTTTCTTTTGTGTGTGTGTTGGGGGGAGAGGGGGGGGGGGGGGGGGGAGATTGAGAGCAAACTCACATTTTTTTTCTTCACTCTTTGTGATGTTTCTAAAATAAAAAAATAAAAGCGTCACAAATATCCACAACGTCGTTTTTTCAGATTTGCACGAAAATACTTTTAAGTTCATTTTGGCATGAAGGAAAATTATACTTTTTACTTGCAACTTTTGACTGAGACTCTGAGACTTGCTTGCTTTGTGATGCTTTTAAAGAAACAAATCCACTACGCAGCGGCACTTTTGTGCTAAATTACAGTGTCGGAGAGTGCCAAACTGATTTTTAAAATATATCTAAACTTGGCCATAATATTTTCCCCTCGCTTTACAGAGTAATACCCAAAAATCTAGGCTATCTCATTAGCTCAGACAGTCGACGCGGCTCCTCGTGATCGAATGACTCGAATTTATCTCTAGTGCTTAGATACAACCTGACTCAGCGATAAGCATTGGTCCGAGGTCAGCGTCCGCTGGGTGATTATCTCACGTACGTTAACGTTATCACTCACGCAAAAAAAGAAAGAAAGAAAGATGTCTTTGTTACCAGGCAGTAATTTCGTTCATTCTCATTTTCTACAGTTACGTGCGATGAAGGCACGAAAGTTTAAACATCTCACAAGCAATAAATCGCCTGAGTGACCTCTTCAGTAATTAAATTCGTCAAACGCAATTTTTTATGAACCCCAAAATATTCACAATGCGTAAATTAAAAAAGAAAAGAAAATAAAAGACTAAGGCGTGTATAAGGGAAGTAAAGTATAGAACAGGGGTGGCCAAGCTGCGGCTTGCGAGCCGCATGCGGCTCTTCGGGTGTTGAAGTGCGGCTCGCAACTCCCTTCTCTCCCCTTCTGCCCCCTCCCTCTAAAGAGAAATGGAACGCTTTTTATATTGAAAAACAGGTTGCAGTTTGGTAGTCTTCTGCTACTGCTACCTTATGCACAGTCGGGCTGCTTTTGACTCGGACAGAATGAAAGTGGTTCGAGTTTCGTTTAGTGCTCTAAGCAGACGTTTGCCCCCCCCCCCCCCCCCCCCCCCCCCCCCCGCGGCTCTCGGAAATTTCGCGGTTTTGTTTGCGGCTCTTGAACCGGGTCAGCAAAATAATAATCTATGCGACTTCCTGAAACTCTGACGTCTCATTTGTTAATGTTTATTACCTGCGTTGCTGTTGTTGTTGTTTTTTTCTTTTCTTTGACAACAATAGTTTTGATGGCTGTGTGAACTCCTCCCCACTTGAAGTGATGATAGTTGAGTGATTTCACTTATATACAGTGGGGTACATTCGTATTTTGTTATTTTCTTCAATCTTTTTTTAAACGTTGTTGCGTATGCCACACGAAAGACAATGCTTTGTGTTCGAAAGTTAGGGAATGTGCACTTTTAAAGAAATAATAACAAAAAAGTTATAAAGTAGCGGGGAAGGAGTGGGAAGGAGTGGGGAAGGAGCGGAGAAGGGTTTTGACAATTGTCGTCTGATACATCTTCGATTCACTCTTGATTTGAAACTATTCGCGACGGATCCTCACTATTTTTTAGGTAACCTATGTATAATTTAGTAAGAACGAATTTAAATTTATGTCTTGTATCTCGTGCTTCAAGAAAGGCCGAACATCGCTGGAAGACGAAGAGAGCTAAGACAATCTTCTTGACCTCTTTTTCTTTTTCCTGCAGGGATGTTTTGCCATGGTTTAAGGGCGAGTGCCATACAAAACACTTCGCAGAATCCACTGCCTTTTGACAATTAGCCTGCTGAATCATTTCAAGTGTCTTTGTTTTATATCTGTTGAGTTTGACGCCGAATCGATGTTCGCTCTAGCTCTGGTTTGCAACCTCTAATAGAATCGCCATTGTACTCGTGCACGTGGTCACAAAAGCTCCGTAGCACAGCTCAAATATTCACAGAACGACACCTTTTGACATAATGCAACATGAATGTCCTTGACTGATTGCAGCGCGCGCATCGCCGTGCTGCCCTTTTTTTATGTTACAAAATCAGTCTCGGAACTTTTTGATCGCACCTCGTATAGTTTCGGAGTGCGCAGCCTTTAAATATGCTATAAAACAGCACCTGCCGACTGTCAGTTTCTTACTCTTGCCGTCTGTAAAAACTTTGAATACGTGTCATGCCTAACCTATGTTCGGTACGTGACCTATACTATTTTTAACGAATCTAGCCCTGCCCCAAAACCCAATATAACGTTTTGTTATTTGGACCATGGAACAATAAATCTAACTGAAAATGTTGTTGGAAACCTGTCTCGGTCGGAAAACTTGAAATCCAGATAGAATCCAATAAGATTTCTTGTCCCATGATCCAGATCGCGAGGGCGAAAAGTCATATTAGGTTTTGGGGTAGGGAGGTATATAGTCATTTAAAGTATATTACTAGACAAAAACAGGGAGTTACTGGCAACCCATAATAAACTAGATAATGGTCATGCGTGTACTATTATGTACAGAAACACATTTTTTATTTTATTTTTACGAGTAACACCATTGACATTATACAAATGATAGGAAACAACGCAAATAAGCACAAGGGCAAGATGAGGGAGGGTACAGACACGGCACTGACTCGTGACATTCGTGTTAGCTTTTTTTCTTTTTTCTTCTTTTTTCTCCTGCGGGTCTATACGTGAAAACAAGAAGCACCAAAACGAACACAGGCAGGACATCTTTTTTTGTCAAGCCACCATCACCCGTGGCATTGTCTTTCACACAAATTGTTTGAATCATCCGATGAAGCACAACTTTCTGTTAAAACGGCAATGGACTTACTACTGGTCTTGACCGTGTAGCTGAATGCAATGCTTCGCTTGCATTCAGCAACCTTCAAAAATTGAAGTGTAACTTTTTTTCATTTTGGGGAGTTTATGTAGCGAGTTAGGTAACTACGTTACCCGTTACTCCTTTTATATGAAGTTTTGGCGTCTTTTGGAACAAAACTTCGGTGTCTCCGTGGTGTGGCCAGTACGTGGTTGACATTTAGACAAGAGAATAGGCGTCAGCATTTCGTTGCAGTTTCCCTTTAAACCACGAGATGATAGTGAATCTCGAAAAGCCCCAATTCCTTCTATCGGCGACTCCGGGATTCGGCAGGAGCACGCTGCTGAACTACCTGGGCTACCGGGTGATGTGCGCGCTGGCCGTGTTCCTGCCCAGCAAGGCGCACTTCCTGGCCAAGCTGCACTGGGACCGCCGCTACGGCTACGGGGAGCTGCCTGAGCGCTGGCGAGTCTGCCTGCGCACCGTCGACGCCGTCATGCGCCTCACCACCCACGCGCTGCACTTCGAGAACTACGTCAAAAAGAACTCGCAGAACTTCAGGAACGTGAGCAGTCGTCGCTGTCTCTCTCTCTCTCTCTCCATGCACGCTACAAGGCCCACGCGCTTCGACGCGTAAACACGCGCAGATGTACGCAGTCACGAGTGAAGAGAAGGGAACGAGAATATTACTTACAATCGGGAATATTTCACCTCGTCGGACTTGAAGAAACGTCGGCGTTATTTCTTTAAGCATAAGATGCTTTCTTACCGCTGCCATCTCACCCTCCGAATACAAAAAAAAAAAAAAAAAAATCCGTTTAAGACAACGTTTTGAAAATGGAAGCTGCGCATAGTTGACCAGTTGCCGATTTGATTTCGTCTCGGTCCAGCTGCGTCGCGGCTTCTTGTCAAGGCAACGCCTCAGCCTCTTTTGTCACCTCGCTCATTGACGTGACGTTTAACAGCTGTGACGTAATTAACGAAAAGATTTTAGGCTTTCGGCCTAGTTTCAACATCACCATCATCACCATTTTATATATATATATATATTTGTACAAACACCATTTCATCATCATTAGATGGGTCGCCGCAGGCCTTTACGGTATGGGCGACTTGCCATTCTGCGGCATCGTGGCTCTCCTGGGCCCCGATAATTATCAACCCACCAATATCAATCAAACAATCAATCAATCGAAAGAAACGAAATGTTTGCATCGTAGCATGGGTGTGTTGGGCGACATGGGTGCATGATCAGAATAAATAAAATAGTACAAAGAAACACATAAGAACGAGTAGAAGAGACACACAAACAGCGATGTTTTTGTGTGTATACTATTTGTCCCATCTGTCCTTTTCGCACTGTTTGATGCGTTTTGTTTCCGTCGTTCTCTTTTTATCACACATTGAAGAACGGATGCGCATGGTTTTCACCCTTTTTAATCGGGTGGCGGCGTGCGCCAGCCAGTCGATGTTTCAATTACTCGACCGTCAGATACAGTCGAGTGATTGTTTCATAAAGCGTTCATCAGGTGATTGTTTCAGTTCATCAGTGATTGTTTCATAATACGTTCATCAGGTCAAAACTCGAATATGCATCAGTCATTTGGGATCTCCACAATAAAAAAAGATATCCACCAGCTTGAACTTGTACAAAGAAAGGCAGTTAGGTTTATATTCAGTAAATACAATAGATTGGACTCGCCCACGGAACTTATGAGGGATAACCACATACCACCTCTCGATACACGTCGGAAAATGACTCGTATTTTATTTCTTTACAACATCCTGACATCCAGAGTAAGCCTAAATACACTCCCATATCTCAATCAACTAACTTCAAGAAAAACACGACACACTAGGGATCACGCACTACAGCCCATCTTCGCAAAAACAAATGCCTTTAAGCACAGTTTTTTTCCACGCACTATTTCGGACTGGAACTTGCTACCAGAAACCATTATTCAGTCAGCCAATTTCATTCAGGAATTAGAACGGTACCTAATTCGATAATGCATTCCGCAGCAGTGGTCTTGTCTTCTTTTGTATTATTGTTTTTGTCATTTTTTCATGTGCACCCATATGTTGCATTTTTTGCCCTCCTGCTTGGGCCAGAGAACTGGCCTGCAGTATTGTAAAATAAATAAATAAATAAATAAGCGTGACAGCAAGCAGAACCTGCTTCCCCCCTCTGACTGTTGCGTGCACCGCGGACTCGTCGTACTGCAGGAGTTCGGTCAAAAAAGTGAACGCCGTTTACAACTCCCTGTAACGCCGAATTGGAGCGCAGCTCCTGAGTAGGAGGAGGGACGGATACTGAGGGGAGGGCAGACCCCTCCCCCTCCTCCCCTCATTCTCCTCCTCCTCCCCTCATTCTTGAATATGCTCAACACCTCCTAGAAGACAAGGCCGTAGTGCTCTTCTCGTGACGTCGCAAAGGAAGGCCATCGGGGGCGCGCGTCGAAGCGAATGCAACGCGCGTAGATCGACCGTCGTAACGCGTTTTTAGTCACATACGCGTGTCATATTAGCTAAAATGAAAGCTGCACATAGCAACGGGTCTAGAAAACATTTTATTACACGAGCAAAATATTACACCGCTAAATAATCGGTACGAAATGGCACGAGGTATGCGTACAAGACGTCTATCGAAAAATGGGATTGTCTTAAGTCGAAAACATTGATTCATGCAATTATTGTTGTAGGAATGCATATTTTATACAGAAATACTTTGACAAAATGGCGAGACACGCAGTGATTTTGAAACAGCAAAACAGAACAGTTAAAAATCAGGTAGACATAGTCAACGCGGACAAGGCAAGACAAGCGTTTCTCACGATCATGTAAGCGACGTTATCGCGTGCAGTCACTGAATTCTTGCATCATACCCCGGCCACATGGCAAAATTAATGTAATTTCGATCGAATGACATTATAGGGTCGACAAATCCGCTTGCGGCGCTCGTATAATCACTCAAGACCGCGAGCTGATTAAATCCTATATCACTGAATGAAAATATATTAACGTTTCCCTGTGGCAGGGGTACTAAACTTACCACTAAGTCTACTAATTTACTTCTCCCTATGGGCTCGAGCTGCCTTAGAACAAAACATAACTTGTTTTGTATATAATAATACTATCACCTTAATACAGTTAAGATTCTAGTATAAACGCGGAAAAGGCAATAAAATAACTTTAGTATAAATAAACACAGAATCACAAACAACTCACTTTCAATAATCACACAAACTTGATTTTCATCTTCCAGTGAAAACTAGATTAGCGCGCATATTTACAAATGTCGACGCAACTGCATACGAATAATGACAAGGAACAAAATTGCAATTTATCATGCGATTAAAAAAAAACGATTGCAGCATCTTACTTGCGTCCTACATGAACAAGAAAGCCCGTAAATCAGTTGTTTCTCACCTGTCGATCGTATCCATACGTCCCACAATATCCGTGACGAACACATTTGAATACGAACTCCAAGAAGCCTCTCTCTGTCGAGAGAGAGGTCTATCGATTAGTCGACCAGAGCCTTCGTTGGCTAGTTGTCACACGTCACTCAAACCGTAGCAGGACTTGTTTCACAAATGCACGCAAAATGCCGTAGTATCAAGCGAACACACAAAAAAACTACCCGAGACTACGGTGATGACAGAAATACGACGGGAAACAAGTCTCAAAAGTACCACACACGAGAGCATCGGCGACGAGAGCAGCGGCGACGAAAGGCTTAACGTTGTCGACCCATCTCTTGCTGGTGTGGGCTCCCTGCGACAACGACTGGATTTCTTTTCGGTTTGCTTCCCTTCTGAGATGTCTCAGCGTTCCTTTTCAGACAGTCAGCAGCTCACACACAACGTAAATTTACCAGAATCGAAGCCATGTGGCATCAGCAGCATCGCAGCCGGTCCTTTCGAAAAGTGTGGGGTGCTGCGGAACTGCACGTAGTCCCGCGGTTACGGGAATACTCATAAATATAATTTTGGTACGCTCAACCTTGGTAGCGCGTTATATAATACGTTTATATTATATATATAATAAATTGTACAAGACTGCGCCTTTAAAACGTATATTAATGTCGGATAAACGCGCATGAACGAACACCACCGCGCCGCTTGTCGAGGGACATTGTTTTCACGTCGATAGCGTATTCTCACGTAGTTGCGCCATGGACTTCCTTCCTCCGCCATTGTGACGTAACCTCTCAGAGCGCTCTGGCCTTCTTCTCTAGGAGGTGTTGATATGCTCCGGGGGGGTCACCTGACCTCGGGGGGAGGGGGTCACGTGACTTCGGGGGGAGAGGGGTGTCACGTGACACCGGGGGAGGGGTCACGTGACCTTGGGGGGTCACGTGACCTCGCGGTTACGCCGACGCCGCTCAAGCCGGAAACGGGCGCATATGAGCTGCGCTCTAAAAGGCGTAATTTCCTTCGTCTTTTCCATTTTTAAAGGGCATCGACCCCTGTACTGGCTGTGGCCGTTTCATCAGTTTCTGTTGGTCTCAGTAAGCCCATCTCGAAGGCATAATTCTATGAGCAGCCCTAATCCATGCGTAGTCAACTGGAACCTAAAAGAACACTCCAGTGTTTCCGTTCAAGAGTTGTGTCGGAGGTTGAGAGCATAGTGTGGGCAAAGTGACATGTCGCCCGTCTATTCTTGCCCACGCAGCACTTGTCCAAATTCGGCGGCGTGGTATCCGCCCTCACGAGCTTTTTCAAAGACTACTCCAAGTCGCATATGGACGACTACGCCCTGTGCAACTACAGAGTGAGTACCGTCTGGCAACAAGCCACCAGTACCCGTCTCGTGCACGTAATTATGCGTTTTACCGGTTGATTTTGGAGTGAGCCTTTTGTTCCCACTTACGCGTAAAAAGCAAAAAAAAAAAATTGCTAACAAATATTGAAACGATACTTCAGGTTTTGTCTTTGCTGCAGCTTGGAAAGCTTCGTTTGGAGAGTTTTGCGCCGAACATCTCCAAAGCCCTAAACCTGGACGCCACCATCTACGACTCCGTGAGTTGCCCCTGTATTCGTTGAAGCACGTTTTTTTATGCCGATCCGCTGCCTGGAACGCGTATCCGTGTTGCGAGTATCGCGTCCTCGACTCTGACAAACTGTACGTGAGTCATTATGTTCCCAAGACATTCGAAAAGCCAAGCACGTCAGTCTACGGAAGGAGTTCAGTGAACGACGAGACCGGTCGCTGCAGAGCGAGTAGTAGCAGAACGGCGCGTGCCGCGTGCACCTGTGCTGCTATTACAATCTGCGTTACACCATCGAGAATTCGGGGAAAGTGAATCTTCTACAAAAAACTGGGGCACTGTCGCCTGACAGTGCCCCAGTTAAGCTACGCCACCGGCAACGGTGCCGTTTAGCTAAACTGGCAGGTAAGATCGGTCTATTTTACTGGAACGTCCAGTAAGCTCTCCTTGCTTCACAAGTATCAGCCACATGACATGTAAGAGAAGCGAGAAAAAAAGAGTAGTGCAGTTCGTCGCCTGTATTGCCTACGTCGTTTGACAGCCGGTGGATGAAAACGCCGAGTTACCCTAATTTTTTTCGGTGCTGGCAAAAAAACACTTTTTTTTTTTTTTTAGGAAGACATATGAAAGCGCTTAGTGGACTCGCGGTGGCCACGCCGGGTCGGAGCAGCACCACCTAAAGTAATTAAAGCCTGTGAACAGCCTCGATGGAGCGTCATCAACCTAGCATCACCTGACGCCGTGAGCCCTTCAACGCATGGACACGACACCCAGTCGGACGCTGGCGCGGAACTTGGACTGTGATGACGTCGAAATTTACAAGCTTTGATTATTCTAGATGGTGGTGATCAGACACATGTTCCAGCACCATAGTGCGAATTCAAGGGCCGAATTGATCGACGCCCTGCTTCCCAGATTCCACTGGTGGAGGACGGCAACGCTCTGGAAGGTTACTACGTCGCCCGGTCCCACGTGAGCCGATCGTCCTGGGACGCGGCCATCAGCGGCGCTGGGGACCTCGGGTAATTATCGGGCCACGAGCCTGCCGACTTTTGTTTTTCCTTAGGAAGTTCTAACTTACCACATGCTCAGAAGTTTGCATGAACATCTAAAACACCAATCATAGGTATTTATTTTGAACCAATCAGAAGGGCTGAGCTCTTTCCGTAGATCGCACTGATTGGCTCAATCAGTTCTCGCAGGCAAAGTAGACGCCCAGGAATATTTAGAGTAGATACAAACAAGGTCTACTTTTCCTCAATGCACGCGAAAGCCAATCACCGCCCTTTACAGAAAGAGAACAGCCAGTGAAGAGGCACCAATAACGACGAGTCTTGAACATGCTACCTGCACCGACATTCTGAGCTTGTGAACGTTGTGCAATGTGTTAGGGTAAACAGTATCGAACGTCGTATGTGGAAACAAGAAAGGAACGTATGGATATACGTCCAGTCCCTGACGCGCAGATAAGCTTCTCTGTGAAGAAGAGCAATGGAAGTAAGCAAACGATGACGGGGAAGTGTCGTCCGTACAGAAGAACCGGACTGCCACCATGCAGCTGGCTTTGAAGTCCAACGAGCCGCGACTGATCACGTTATCATTGAGACTAGGGAGCCTTCATGTGCGCTATGAAGGCAATCTAATTGAGACGATACGAAACGTTGCGCCGGTCCTTATTGTTCTCAAGAGTTGTCACCTCTTTCGAGAGCCTGTCCTTGTTTCATGGCGTTTGTTATATGTTAATTTTAATTTGTTTGTTTCCCCTTGGCGGCCTTCGTTTTAGCTGGAAGCGATCAGTGTTCGACCTAGCCTGCACCTACAACCCCACAGTCAACAGTTTTGGTGAGTTGAATTTGGTTACTTCGCCTTTTATGCTATTCAGCGGGTCTGTTACGCCGTGGAATCGTTTTACATAAGATGCGTGTTCTTTACTTCTTTCCGCTGACTTTTTCTTAACCCTGGAGAGTGGGGAAACAGAAGGACAGGACAACACGAATCTTCATGACTCAGCTCATTTGACTTTGAGCTGCGTTTGGAGATTCGTGTTGTCCTGTTCTTCTGTTTCCCCACTCTCCATGGATAAAAAATTTCGGTTCTTTACCAGCTCGCATGCATCCTTGCAGTAACATCTTTGTACTAATTTTTGCAAGCTGTGTGTTTATGCTCCTTTTTCGCCTTATTTTTTATTAGCTATTTGTCTTTATCGAGAGTTTCCCTCGGCTATTTTATAAACTAGTGACAATATTGGGGACGAGCGATGCGTCGGAGCTCGGCATGGGGCTCATGTCTGATCGGGGAGGACACGAGTTCCAGCCGAACGCTGACACAACATTCGTGTGACGCTCCCCCGTTAATCGAGTGCGTTACCGGAAACTGCTAGGAGCCAAACGCAGGACGCATTTTCTGCTTACACAACACCTCTAGCTCTTTTCCTATGGGTGTTTTTGACGCCATATACTGCGATGACCTAGTGGAAACTAAAATTACGACGACGATCCAATCTCCTCTGCTCTGCCATTTAAAGGGATGTCCAAAGAGGATATGAATTCAGAACGCGTGAAGCGACACTTCTCCGTCACATGAAGTGAAAGTTGGTGTCCAGCAATTCTTCTTATGTTTGGACATCCCAAACATTTCGGCTTTTCTCCTCGCCTCCTCTTCGTTTTTGTGACGTCGGTGGTCGTCAGACTTTGCGTCACTCGCCACCTGCCAATGGTGTGCCTGTTGCCTGTCCATCTGTTCTGCTGCGCCCTCGTATACTTCCCTTTCGCGTTTTCGGGGCTCGAAGAGCAGCGGAAGCCTTGAGCGACTGACTGACAGCCAACAGGGCGTGTGAGTGGCTGTCCAGGTTCACGTGATGAGCATGCTTGAGGCCTCCGTGAGGAACACTAGCGGACCTCGGCTAAAGGAAACTTTCCTCTGGAAACAACGAAAAAGAAAAGAAAACAGGACAGAAGCGGATTGCCGCACTTCATGTGGCGGAGAAGCGTCTTTCACGCGTTCTTGAGCTGTCCTATTTGGACAGCCGGTCACAAGTGCAATATATGCGTCCGCATTCGCACTGCTGTGAGACTTCGGTACGAGTATACGTGAAAACAAAGAAATGTTCGCAAGCGTTCGATGTCGTTTCCAGGACGCGCCTTCTAATTGAGCACACCAGAGGCTAATTAAATATATATGTTTATAAGCTGTCACGGAGAAAACGTTTGGTTACATTTTCTCTCTTCTCCGGCGCAGTCCGTTTGCTTTACTTGACAAACACTTCGCTTTGAATACTCGTGTGCGAACCATTTCTTAGCCGTACGTTAGCTCACTCGTCCCTATTGATAACGCAGTATATTCAAACGTGCGAACGTATCTGCACAGCCGCACGTGCCTCTTCCGACGGCCGGCACTTTTCATTTACAGAACTTCCCCTGAGCCTCTTCCACGAGCCGTTCTTTTATAACGATGACACTCTGTAAGTATTACGCTCTAAATAAGAATCCACAATCACCAGGAAGATTAGTGACGCCATGCAACTCCTAAAAAATTTGTAGATTTGTATATATAGATTTTTTTTTTAATAAAATGAAATCAACTACAGTGTCAGTTTTTGAAAAAAAAAATTTCACAAAACAAGTGATAGCGATTGAGGAATTGATATCATTCCCGAAGGGCAAGCGGCACTTGTCACCTGCATTATTCACCAAGATGAGCTAATTCTAGCCTCCAGTATTACCCTTGGCGTGTTGCCCCGCTTACTAATTGAAAGGGGCCAGTCAGTCGTTCGATCGAGCTTAATTTGTTGTCAAGGCAATGTCATGTATTTGGAGGCTTCTCTCGTAGCTATAGTCAGCTGTTCCGGTGTGTATTAATGTCTCTCGCTCCGGTGCTCAGTTGTCACCGTTACGGGTTCCGCCGAAGAATATCGAGGGTTGTCGCGAACCCGATGCACGAGGGGATGGTGTACCGTGCCAAACACACCAGTCATAACAAATACACGTTCCGGGCTCCATAGCTTGGAGCATCAAACCATTTTGTGTGCTCTGACTGCAGTCCCTTCGACGATCCTCGAGTAACATTCCGGATTGGGAGAGAACTTGCCAAAGTTTGTCCGCAAAATGGTAAGTGAATGTAGAGGCTGTTGTTTTACAGTACATGTACGCGTGCGAGCAGATTTTAGTAAGTAGAAATCTCCATATCAGTGGTCGCTTCACCAAAGTTCGAGCTTTGGTCAGCTTGGTACCTATAGCATTATTTTTCTACGCGTAATTAAAATGTTCTAAGAAGGGGCTATGCTTGCAACTTTTTCTTCGTTCCCGCGTGCAGTAACCTTTTTTGCCCTCAAAACACCACCAATTATAGGTCTCCCTTGAACCGGTGAAGTCAGTGAGCCGGACGATCTCGGTGTCCGGCTCCATTGGCCATCTAGTCTAATTTGGCGAAGCGGTGTGCCTCCTTACCACTGCAAACGCCTGCCCGTTGGGACAGGCTTTCTCTCCCGATCGGTTAGGCTGATTGAAGAATGCGGAATTGTAGTAGACCGTTTCCGCAGCTCGCTAAGCACCCGGATAGCGCTCCGTAATCCACCACAAGACCTTGAACTATGCAGATAAGGCTGGCGGCGCGCAGGCGCAGCTGCGGCGTTTTCTTCAGGGATACCGTAGTGGAGGAGAAAAACGGTCTACTACGATTCCCTAATGATCGGTGCTACGTACACTCTAAAAAAATCAGCGCGTCTACTTTCACGCACGACACTCGGAGACCCAATCAGCGCAACTTACGGAGGCAGCTCAGCGAATGACGATGCCGAAACATATGTTTAGACCAAAAAAACGCAGTCTGAGTTGTGACATTAAGCAATGCAAAACGTCACGCTTGCATTGCTTAATGTCACAACTCAGACTGCGTTTCTTTGTCTAAACAGATGTTTTGGCGTCGTCATTCGCTGAGCTGCCTCCGTAAGTTGCGCTGATTGGTTCTCTGAGTGTTGTGCGTGAAAGTAGACGCACATACGTTTTTTAGGGTGAGGGGTAGCGGTGCGGTGGCAATCACCGTGCATCTTATCTTATCAGACTGCAGCATGAGCCGATAAAAACGCCAAAGATGGAAACGTGAATATAATGAGCCATATTGCACGCCCTGAGAGAGAGAGCTGTTTACCTACTGTGCCTCAACGAGGGTTGCTATCTTCTTGCTAATGTTGCAGGCATTGTGTACGATCCGGACCGCGACCACGCCGTTTGGCAAGAGCCCCCGGGCAATGCCAGCATTGCTGACGACGCCAAATGCCTCATCGAACAGTACTCCAACATCACGGTTCCTGAGCTGAACATGACGGTACGACACACACAGGACTTTTCGTTTACATTAATGGGGGGGGGGGGGGGGGGGGGGGGGGGAGGTGGGGTACATACCATAGGTGGCAGTAATGACATGAGTACGATAAGATTATAGTAACTAAATTACTTTTTGTAGTAATGAGCAATGTACTGCGTTAATTTTCTAGGCTGGTAATTTAGTAACGTAATTAATTACTTTCAGGCAGTAATTTATAAAAAAATTACTCATTACTGTTAAAAAAAACTTTCGTAAAAAAAAAAAAAAAGTTCGTTTGCGAGGTTAAAAAAAAATTCTGAGGACACGTAAGCACTTCATATGAGTTGTGAATGTAAAAGCATGAATGTCGTTCTTCCACTTCCCTAGTTCGTCTGCGGCGTACTGGCGCGGACGGCCGCGTTTCGCTACTGCCGAGGTTGCGGCCGACGGCCGAGCGCGCGCACTCGTGAAGTGGCCGCGTCGCCCTGAGCTCGGATGTGCAACCTCTCCGGAGTCTGCCCAGGCGGGCCCTGCTGGCTCTGCGGCCAGCCTCTCCCTCTTACCGGCGCCGTGCTGCCATGGAGAAAGCTTTTCTGAGGGGTGGCAGCTAGCCAATGAATGCCTCTCCATCAAGTCGCTGCTACAGACGTCAGGCTTCGCTCCAATTGGGACAGGGGGGGGGGGTTAGGTGCCGTTTGGCGCAGCTTCAAAAGCTGATAACGCCGGTTCGCTCCATGGGACACCAGTTAATGCTTTCGCATTAAAAAGAAAAATTATTTTTCCTGATGAAATGTCGTGAAAGAGACATCACAGCAAATAAGCGACGGCCATCCGAGCGGAAAGCCTCGTACGAAAAACTCTGCATGAAGCACGAAGTCTGCCTGAAGGAGAAAAGCTTACGTGTAAAGACATCGCTGAAAGGCCACGGCTCACGAACTCCAGGCAAGGCACATTCACGGCGTCGCGTCATCAGGGCGATACTATACTTCGTTCACCCCTAAGCTGACAGTGCGGTGGGAGCTACGAGTTCACCAGAACCAATCAACCACCTTGTTTTGATCACCTGACCTGTCCCTTTCTCTGCGCGTGGGTATGAACGAGAGCGCGGTTTCGCGTGGCGAAAGATAGACGAGTGCTTGTCCCAACGAGCACGTGATTTCTACCGCACTGTCAGCTTAGGGATAAACGCATTATAGGCTTCAAGGTGAAAGGCACGTCACCAGTGAGGTTAACACAATTTAAAGCCTGGGAGAACATGAAAAACGAATCCCCAGCCTTCTTGCTCTCTCATCAAGTAAGGTTAAACCCTAAGACCATTGTGAACAACAAGCGACCGCAATAAATGATTAATCACAAGCCCTTGTCAAGGCCCAAGAACTTTCCCTGCGTATCCTTGTCCTTGCTAAGTGAATGTGGTTTTTGTACTCGGAAAAAGACGGGAATGAAGCAAACCAGGCGCTATTCGCTGCCCTTTTTTGGAAGTTTATTAGAGAAGAAAGCGAGCAGATATCACCACTCGTTTGTTCGGAAAGTACAAAGTTTAGGAAGCTCGCGCCATCCCTTTTCTCAACTGGCGACGTTTCTGCCCAGCAAATCACCAGCCCCCTTGTGTGGGACGCGCAAAAAATTGAGCTTCTCGGGTGTTTGGGAAGAATACTCCTTGAGAGGAATTACCGGGAACACGTCAACTCGTGCTTTTGGGAGAAGGATTAAATGGCGTCCAAGGAAGACGGGAAACGTTTCACGTGACGACTTATTGTAAGAACAAGCTCCCATGGCACGGTTGAACATACTGACACGAACTAAACTTCTTCTAAATCAGGAAGACAGAAACATCTCACCCATTAACTAAGGACCTTCACAGTCGAATGAGTAGCGAAACCGGTGAGTCGACTGCCTTTGAGTCTCATCTAAAGGAGAAGCTATTCATGATGTTTAAAGTCCCGTTAATACCCTTGCAACCGAGTAGGACCGACTGAGACAAGACCAGGTTTTAAGCTTCTTTCGACGTCTTAGGACTGGATGCGCTGCTGCGGAAACGGTCCGACGCCGTCGCTAGAGACTAAAAACCGATCTTGTCTCAGCCTGTCTTACTTGGTTGCAAGTGTGTGAACGGGCTTGAACACTTTGTTGAGTGCGCTGGCAAAGCGACTGTTCAGTATGGTTCACTTTGGGGTGCATAGGCTGTTGCGGTGTAAATAGGAAGATCTTAGTTTTGGTACTTACACTGTAAGTAAAATGAGCACGAATTACTGCCTCAAGGTATTGAAAAGTAATGTCAAAGTAATTTCATTACTTTTGTAAAGTAATTGTAATGAAGTGTCATCACATTTAGTCACCTGTAATTTGTAATGTAATTTAATTACATTTTTACGATTTGCAGGAAAGTAATTAGTAATGTAATTACTTTTTGAAAGTAATTTTGTTATCTCTGCACTCTAAAAAAAGCCCGTGCGTCTACTTTTCCGCACAACACTCGGAGAGCCAATCAGTGCAACTTACGGAGGCAGCTCAGCGAATGACGATGCCGAAACATATGTATAAACCGAAAAACGCAATCTGAGTTGTGACATTAAGCAATACAAAACGTCACGCTTGCATTGCTTAAAGGGCAACTCCGCTTCTTTTCTAGTAGTGCAAAACATACAGTTCTTTTTGTTATAATCTACAAAGCCCATATGACAAATATTACGAGGGAATTCTGCATAGAAGTTTATTAAAATCGCTGTCAAAGTTTGACAAATACGAATGCGCTGGTTTTGGATGAGACGTGCGGGCCAGACAACACTGCCCGGCTGCATTTCCGCTTCCTCCGAATTCCTTCTCCCGGCACGTCCGTAACGTCATCAAGGATTCACAGTTTTTTTTTTTTTTTTTTTCAATTTTCTTTTATTTTTTGGGGAGAGCACGGGTGGCGCCAGCGCCGTGAGAGACGTGAGTGACGCGCTCGGCCGGCCCGGCACTCAACTATTGATACCCTACAGATAGGCCCATCGCCTCGTTGAGCGCGGCTTGTGTGTTCAGTGGGTATTGACGTGCGATGGCACGTGCTTTGCAGACAACGCGGCGGTGACCGCGAAGCGCATCTTTGCGTGATAGATCACGTGACCCCTTGTATATCACGTGGGTGTACATGCTTAGTGATGCCGAAGATACAATGCTGTCCGGCTTTGCCAACGTTTCGGTTTCGGTTTGCGATCATGGCTAGAGTAAAATTAAACGGAAATTTTCTTTTTATTTTTCCGAGTGTTGTGCGGGAAAATAGACGCACAGGCTTTTTTTAAAGTGCGTAAATCGCGAGTAAATTTTCGATTAACGCGAAGAAAAAGACGCACCCTTTCTCCGCGCCGTGCTTTGTACGCCAACTCGTGCCTGTGACATCACTTCGGAGCAGCGGAACTGGCTGTGGAACTGGAAGCGCTCGGCATCAACACCGAGTCGTTACGCATAGTCTCCTGAAAAAGGTAACGGAAGCTGCGGTCGTAAAGGAGAACTTTCGGGGATCTAGCACGACCACAATTTTATCAATGGCCTTTGTTATGTGCCACAGGCGGGGCGGAGAAAACAAGACGATGTTCACTTTGATCACGTTAAAGAGTGCACGGACTGAAAAGCGTTATCATCCCCTGGCTCTACAACGTATATACTTCTTTTTTTTCGTTTTTTTTTTTATGTATTCAGATGGATGGCATGTCAACTCTACCGGAGAACATTCTGGACAACATCGTTCTGCCTCCTTTGTACGAGGTAAGGAAGTCGCCTCGGTGATTGGGAAATTGAAAATCGCCACAACATCGCGGGGCCTTCGGGCGTTCTCGAAGCGATGTCGGGCAGTGGGGGTGGGAAGTAAGAGTAACGTGAAATCTCCCAACGTTTGTAAGGTCTAAGGTGCACTTTACACTCTAGGATGTTCGTGAGTGTATGATGGACCGCGATTTACTTGAAACGCCAATCATTTGTCTTTTTGTAAAACAGTTAGACCGGTGAGAAAATAAGATATTATGCTCCAGTTGACGTGCGGTCTCTTTATGGCGCCGATTGAGGTGAGCTCATTTTTGTCACTGAAACTATCATGATCATGCGGCATAGCCAGAGGAGGGGCTAATGGGGCTTCAGCCGACCCTATCATATACACATGCATTTTGACTCCCCCCCCCCCCCCCCTCCCTCCGCATCCCAAGGCACGGACATTTCAGCCACCTCAGCCCCCCCCCCCCCCTCCCCCCCTTCTCCCCCTCCCGAAGAAGATTTCTGGCTACGCCACTGGACGTGATCGTGGTAGGATACTGTCTCCCCTTTATCGACAAGAGTAAATAAAAACACAGGCCGATAATTGGCGTTTCAGTGCCTCATACACGGCAGCGTGCGTTCGGTGGACGCACGCTGCCCCATGATGCATGCCGTTCACAAGCTTCTGATGTGTACGCCCATGATTTCGTGCATGCTAAAATATCTATTGGCGCACATGTGTTCGCAGTTCCTTCTAAGTCTTAATGAGTGCGGAAGTCAATGGTATTTCAGATTAGAAGTAAAAGATAAGCCAGCTGGTGAACTTTAAACATTATTTTCGGCCTCGGGTTTCGGCAGTGTTATCAAATCGCCGTTAGATAATTTTTGACATTGCACACCGCATAGAGATTTCTGGGGCGCCATGGATGTTCAATCATCTTCATTTCCGAGGAGTGCTCGAGGAGGCGTTTGCGGACTGATTAAAAGCGAATCGGGCGTCGCAGGCGTACAGAGAGGCCCACTCCAGTTCCCTGAAGGAGCACACCATCCATCACATCGACGGCACCGCCTTCAACCAGGTCTTCTTCCTCTCGTACGCTCTGGTGAGGACTGAGGCTTGCGCTCCTCTATTTCCTTGTCTGTGCAGAGCTCCTACCTGCACGTTTCACATACGTTCTCGAAGCATGAAATGCTTTCTTACTTTGGACGTTAAGACCTTGGCCATAGCGTTCAAAAAAAAACAAAAAAAAAAGCGCTCGAAAGAGCGTTTTGAAAACGGCAGCTGAGGCAGAGTTGGCCAGCTGTCAAGTTAACTAGGCATTTCGGTCTAGCTGGGTCGTGCACGTGGCGTCCAGGCTACGCTTCCGCGTCGCGTGTCAATTATTTATTTCGACACGCGACGCGTGTCAAAATATTATTATAAAGAATTCTTATTTTAAAGAAGTATTTCCGCTGCTGCGTCACACGCAGGAGCGAAAATTCTTGCGTCCTCAGTCGGCTAATGTGTGACGTCTTTAATGAATGTGATATCTTTAATGTAAGCATTTTATGTCAGGTTTCAGCAAAACTGTATGAAAGAAAAAAAAGAAAGTCTACAAATTTTTGCTTTCTTTTTCTTGTGGCTTGAAGATGGTCGACGTAAGCCAATCAGAAAGCTGGATTCTCCTGCCCGAACGGACGCAGTAGAATGCCACACAGAGCCGCAAGATCAAAAACCATGCGGCACCCAGCGACATCTCCTTCTGTGCCTTGCGATGGCATACGTTGGGTGACATAGAAAATCCAGCCCATTCCTCATTTAGGAGGAGACCGTGTGCTCCTCGGGACATCAATCAGCGTTCTTCGTATATCGATTCCAATGAGAAGATGGATCGGTAGCGCTACTGTGCTCCAACGATACTTCGGTGTGTGTCGGTGGCAAAAAGGGTGGAATCATTTATAGCCACAAAAAAGCCGCATGACCATTTTTGCGTGGTGCCAACCACCGGCAGCCTTAACTGATAAATGACGGCCGGTGACTACAATGGTGCTCGTCGCGCACAGGGGAACTTCTGAGACTGTAAGCAATCTCAGCAATAAACCCAAATACATCTCAAATGTTTTCTTTGTTTGTTTTTTCTAATAAAAATGCACAAAACTAGCCTGTCCTTTTTTCTAATTATTGCTATATTTTAATTTGAAGGGCCTTTGCGAGAACATGGACAAGGGGGCCCTGCGCGATCTTCTGCTCGAAGGGAGGAGCAGTCCTGCCAAGTACCGGTGAGTCTGAACAACAGTTCGGCGCGCACTTTGGTTCCCGCGCAGAAACCTTTTTTTTTTCTTTTTTCTAAAAGCGGAGCATTTGCATACGCTTCCACAGCCAGCTTTGCCGTGACGCCGGGGACACACGGGTGGAGAGGTGCTGAGATAGAGAGAGTAAGGGGTATTGCCATAATGAGGTTTATGCTCGCTACTTATGGTTCCGTGTAGCGTCTCCTGCATGCTCTAAAAAGTTTAATCACCGCGATTTCCGGAAGAAGCTCTGAATAAGTTCACCGAGATATGAGTTCAACGACGTGGCACTAGGCATGACGTGGCCGCATGAAATGTCTCGTCCGCGCTGCCACACCGCAGAGATCATGTCAAGGTCGAAACGTATTTTCACGCTTAACGCGCACTCATTGAGAAAAAAGCGGAACGATCATTATTAAAAATTGCGATGATAGCCTGAGGGTGCTGTCTATAGGGGGAAATCACTGGACGCCATACTTGAGGGCGATGTTTAGAGCTCATGCTTAGAACGAGTTCACATTACTATGCTGATAAGACCGGTAATCTTGATGGCGCTGAATTGACGTTGCAAAAGAACTGTGGAAGGTCGCCGTCAGCACGCGCTCAGCAAGTCGCGCACACAACTATGGCCGCGAGTGAATACTCCTTGTATACCAACTCAACTCTCTGACGTCAGACCACTGCGGTGGCGCTGCTGTCAGCACTGCGCATGCGCAGATGCGTCATCCCTCGCGAATCTGGTTTCTGCGCAAAGAGCAGTGCCCACACTATAAGTGTGGGCGAACTCTGACTTGTTCGTAAACAGTGTGTTGGTATATGTATACGCTCTGAGAAGCCTTTGTTGTCCCTGACAGCTTAAGAAACGCCTGGGCCTGGCTTATTATCAATCAATCATTCAATCAATTTATTTCTCTCCGTTATTTTAGGCGACATCTCAAGAGCCGGCTTATTGAAACGCCTGTTAAGCCGGGGTTATACTGCTCGTACAATATACAAAAGACAGTGTGCACACATGCGTCGCCGATATATCCATGGTTCGAATACCGCGTGCCAAGTTTTTTCCTTGAACTCATTGCAACGAGGCATTTGAAAAACGGATCTCGCTGTCGCTCGCGTTTGAATCTGCATGCAGACTGTCCTTTTCGTGTGACGTATAAGCAGTGTGACCCCGGTTTAAAGCTGTCAGTGGCCACAGCAGAATGTACTCACCACACCAATTATGCCCGAGTCCCATTAGAGCAACAAACATATAGCAAACATCGACAAGCCTCAAGCCCACGCATCATTCACGCGAAGATATATCTTTGGCAGGCTTGTAACCACTCCTGCTCACTTCACCAGCACCGAGGCTTCAAGCCAATGAAAGGTACCTTCGCGTGCATTCTGCACGTGTTTGAGCTATGGTTTGAGGCTTGTCGGTGTCTTTTGTTTCTGTTTGTCGCTCTAGTGGGACTCGGGCATTATTGTTCTTCCCTTAGACAAGAGTCCCAGCTCCAACCTCGATGACCAGCTCCTGCTCGTGTCGAGTGCTGCGGAAGAAGGGAAAGCTCGATGCGTCTTGGACTTAGAACTTTTCCCAATCGCTTTCTCAGAATAAAGACGTTTATTCTCTCTCTCTCTTTGATAAAAGGAAGACGGCAAGGCGTACATCTGGAACGCCCGACTTCCGGCACGCTCTTCACGCCTCCCGCCGTGCTACGACTGCGCGCACTGCGCACTCAAGGCGCACAAGAAGCCGAAGCATTGCCGAAGCTGCGAAGCGCAAGTTCGTCTGCTTCTTGCACAGGGGTTGCGATGATGTTAGAACGCAAAGCTCCTATTGGCTGATTGAAAAAAAAGACAGTGGCTAGACCTCAAAGCATCAAGTACTGAGGTGTACCCACTATCTTTTCAATGAAAGCCATTCACACTCTAAAAAAAGTATGTCCGTCTACTTTCACGCACAACACTCGGAAAGCCAATCAGCGCAACTTACGGAGGCAGCTCAGCGAATGACGATGCCGAAACATATGTTTAGACCAAAAAACGCAGTCTGAGTTGTGACATTAAGCAATGCAAAACGTCACGCTTGCATTGCTTAATGTCACAACTCAGACTATGTTTTTTTGGTCTAAACATATGTTTCGGCATTGTCATTCGCTGAGCTACCTCCTAAGTTGCGGTGATTGGCTCTCCGAGTGTTGTGCGTGAAAGTAGACGCACGGGCTTTTTTAAAGAGTGCACAGCTCGGCGTCGTTTCGACGTTGCCGCAACGCCTGCGAGAGAAGCACACGTTTTGCACTCCGCGTAGGAAGCTCGCGCTGAAGGCGGCACAACTGAAACCCCTCCTTGACCTCCTCAATTTGTCTCGAAAAGGGCTGATCTCTGCGGTGCTCCAGTGATCGCGCAACATCAGTGCCAAACCGTTATATATATATTTTTTTTTATTATGCTGTTTGCCTTTTTCAATGGCTCAACCGATGCATCGGGTGACAGTACACTCGCACGGGCTTTTCATGGTGAACGTCTGCCTACGTGTTCACGACGAAGTGTTCTTTACTTCGTTTAAGACTAATTCCAACCGTAGCCAAAGCTATAAGATCCGATGGAACCAATCGAACAGTGTCAAACGTGCATCGTCATGACGCTCTTTGCGCGTGCAATATCAGACTTAAATCAATCTTCCGCAGAAAAAAAAAAAGAAAAACGAAAGCGCGGGATCGCATTTATTGTGTTCGATAGACCAATCCCACCAGCCAGGTTGACTACGCCACCGCTGCCGCAATGCATCGAGGGCACTTCAGTCTTTCTGCGCGTGCGAAAACCTCGATGGAGCGTTGCGCGTGTAGAGCATGAGACAGCACCAGCCCTCGCATGCACAGCCGTCGGCTTCCCGTGAACTAAAGTTATGGTGGCGTCACGCATGCGCCGAACGCTTAGTGAGGTCGGTCTATAAAGACTATTCACTGGACGCCATATTTGTGGGTGCTGTTTAGAGCGCATGCTCAGAACGAGCTCACATCAATAGGCTGCTAAGACCGGCACTCTTGATGGTGCGGAATGCACGTTGCAAAAGAACTGCGGAAGCTCGCCGTCAGCACGCGCTCAGCATGCGCGCACACAGCTACGGCTGCCAGTGAATACACCCTGTTGATTCAGTCGGATAAAAGCAAGCGCCCAAAGGCGTCGAGCGCCATGACAATCTACACTTTTGGCCCTTGATTGGCTCCATCGGATGCACTTCTCTTTTTTGCCCACAGAGTGAACGTTCCGCTCCAGAACTTCAACAAGTTCGGAAAAATATTCGGCTGCCCGCCAGGCACGTCCATGAACCCTCTTCGCAAGTGCACCGTTTGGATGAAGCACGACTGAAGATGCTTCACGGTCCACTATAGGTGTCGTCCATCCCAGCTGTGGCTGGCAATACGAGAGCGTAACGAATAAATACACTCTTGGAAAAAACGTGTTCCGTTATGATACAGACGGGTGACAATATATTTCAATACTGAGTAAGACTCTTGTGTATTTGTGTGTGTTTCTAGGCGTGGTGTGGGTGCGTGCGTGCCTGCGCGCGTGCGCATGCGTAATCTCGCATTGTGTCTGTCCGCGCGCGCGCGTATGTCTGGGTTTTGTTTTATTTCTTAATATCACTGTAGAAAAACGGAGCAATTTTTTCTCGGTTTCTTTCACCGAAGTGAATATGAAAAAAACTACATTTCTTTTTCTTGAAAAAAAATTCTTAATTGTTGAATTTTGAGGGGATCATTCAAGGTTGATCGCGGGACACTTGTCCATAAGAAATCGCCGTACGAGTGTAGAACAATAAAACTTGCAGAGGACGGTAACGTAGTTCTTCTTTAATATTTAACGCCCAGGATGACGTATTTCACAAATACGCAGCAGTTTGACATATTATGGCGGCACGCAACCTGTCTGTAGCGGTAGAGTAGTGGTACATAATAAAAATTGCTGGTGAAGGCGAAAGCTAAACCGGTTAAACTTTTTTTTAAAAAATTGTAAGTACATCATGAACAAAAGATGTCACCAACAAGAGCGTGCTACAAATGGTGTCAATAGTTCGGCAAAGGACGGCAGCCGATGTCAAATGAACCACACGGGCACGTTCGTCCGACCATGGAAGCTGCCACAAAACGACGGCAGCGGCGCCTGGACGCGCACAGTGAAACTATGTACACCATGAAAAACTGACATATATTTCTGTGCCGGTTTGATTTTCTATTTTCTCCGTAGAAAAGTCCCGGTTAACCTTGAATGACCCTTATATATTTCGAGCCATCACGTTGGACTTACTGAAAACTAAAGAAATCAAAATCCACAAACAATTTACATGAAAAAAAAAACTGATTTGCACTTTTTTGTTGTTGATAGTAAATGAAAGTTGAAAGGAATCGCGTCGACTGTTAAGAGCCATTTTGAATGTATACAAATTAGTCGTAGTGTACCTGTCGTAAATTGGAGGAACCAGCATGCAAAATACTCCCGCGTGACGTGCAGTATAGCGAATCTACGTGCACGCCCACTTATAATTTGACGAATATATCTTCCTATTCCTCATAAATTGGCCGAAGCACCAAGGCAAAAGTTCTGATGGTTCGGATTGTTTTCTGCAATTAAACTTTCACTCTAACTAATGGTGCTCAAATTAACGTGGCACAAGCAAAAAATGTTAACATCTACCTTCTTAAAAAGAAAAAAAAAAAAACGTTCCAGGGCTGAAGGAGTTTAATCGTATTTCACAAATAATTCCGTTTTTTTTTTTTATTCTTTTTTTTTTTTTTGGAGTCAGCGTTTTGCTTATTTCCCCATTCATAAAGGAAGTAGGTTCCAATCGAAACAAAGCATTTGTACGGAGATCGATAAGAGACGAGGCATTGTTTCGACGCTTACGTCGCTTGATAAGCAGCCATTGTGTGAATTCGTTTGTTCTAAGATAGTCCGGCGGTGTCTCGATGTCTGAGAGGACTTGGATGCATAGTTGCACGCTGTAGATAAGCTCGGAAGGCTGTTGGCTGATGGGCATTTTGTTCGGATTAGTTCGGACGATACCCAAGCCTTCACTTGATCGGCGGCGAACCCTGGGAAGTAAAAAAGAGTTTTTTGTTGTAGCCATATTTTCAAGTACTGTAAACGACTAAATTTTCGCGAGGACCTAATTTTCGCGAATTTCGCAAATCGCCTACAATTCGCGAAAAATATGTCCCGCCAACAATTCGGACAATATGTGAACGCTACGGAGGCTACATTCGATTCGCAAAAATTAGAACCCGCGAATAATTTCAAATTTTCAGCTTTGGCCCGATTCACGAAAATTTGAGCCCGCGAAAATTAAGTCGTTTACAGTATTCATTTTCTTTTTTTGCAAGAGTGACATAATACTATGGTGCCTGGATCGCGTCTCCGACTGGTGTGTTTAGCGTCCTATCCCACCCATACATCAAAAGTGGTCCCGATGTGGCAACAAATGACGCGAATGTCATGCTGTTGCCTGTCGCGATCCTGGCGGTTGGCCGTAGAAATGCTGGCGAAAAGCTCGAGCGAACGCGAGTGTCGCTGTCGTCACGGCGTCCCTTTAGACGTCCCAACTTCCGGCTGCAATAGCTTCCGTGAACTGTCACAGTGGAAAGCGACCTGCAGCAGAACAGGCATCTGCTGCATACACCACAGCTGGTGGGACGCCGCCAGGGTCGCGACCGGCGACAACATGACACTTCTATGACGTCATCAGGCGGAAATCAAGGGACCACTTTTTTGGCCGCGGTAAACACACCAGTCGGAGACGCGCTCCAGGCACCATAATAATACTACCCCGTGGGCCAGATGAATCCAGCCTAATATGAATAAATCGAAACAGCCAGTTTCGCATGCTGCGACACTGTAATTTGCCATAATAACAAGGCTAGTATTTGTTTTGTGAAAATATCGAAGGAAAAGCTTGTCTCCATCAAAAGAGGAAAATAAAGCGCACAATTTTCCTATGACTCAACGGAATTTTTTTTATTTAACAAAGCAGAACGTTCTTGTGCGTCATTAGGACGTTCGATTCAACTAAAATAAAAAGGAGAAAATAAAAACTCGTTCTGACATTGCTTTTGTTTACTTTGTCATCCAATAAAGTATTCAAATAGTTTACAAAAACATGTTTTATTTTACTTTCACTCGAGAAGGATCGAGACATCGCAAAATCTTGGTTTTTATTTGTAACTTTTGAATAAAACAACTTTTTATATTAAAAAATAAACTTCAGCTAGCTTTGTTTTTATGGTAAATTGCAGTGCTTCAGCACCCGACACTTTTTGTCTGATTTATTTCAAGTGAGTCTCATTGGCGCCATCCCACGCGCTATAATTGGCTCGCCTTGAATACTTGCCTTTAAACTTTTTTATGAACCACTTTTTCTTTCTTTTTTTTTTTTTACTGATACATTGAATGCAACTTTTATGTTATTTACGAACTTATACAAAACTGCCTGCCTGTTCACTCTAAGCCGCCTTCGCGATTTTTATTGTACTCCGTTCACCCTTAATTAAAGGGGTTTTTGTCGCGGCGAAATTGCGAGGTTAAAAGGGGACTATTTCTTTCAGCCTTGCCTTCGCAAGGCTTGGTGACGTAATTGTGGTATCGAAACCACCCGCCTGACGACCGTCGAGCGCGGCTCATGGATTAGACACGAGAACTGACTGAGCACTCGACTTCAGCGCGTAACAATCAATGCCTCGACGGAAACACGGGTAGTGGCTCGTGTCCAACCACTGCGGTGATAAGGATAGCCGAACTAAACAATGCCTGGAGCTAAACACGCGTTTTCAACCTTGCCAACCCCAGCGCGTAGCTATGATTAACGTTGGCAGCATGGGATAGGCACCAGGCCACATGGCCGCTTGTTCTGGCTCCGAGTTGAGGGGATAAATTTTTTTTTCGCTTAGAAAGAAAAACTAGGGCAAGTTTATTCAGTTATTAACGTTATAGAGTGATTCTAAATAATATTTATCGAAAGTAGAAAAATCGTCTTATGACCCCTTTAAGCCGAGACTGTAGCCAAAGCTAAAAGCGCGAGCTAGCCTGAGCTTCTGGCGTCGAGACATGCATTTCTAGCGCGAGCGCTCGTACTGCGGAAGAACGCTTCAAAGCAGCGAACTCGAGCTCTTCGCTTCACTCTAAAAAACGCTCGCGTGTCTACTTTCCCGCACAACACCTCGAAGAGCCAATCAGGGCAACTCACGGAGGCAGCTCAGCGAATGACAATGCCCAAACATACGTTTAGACCAAAAAACGCAGTCTGAGTTGTGACATTAAGCAATGCAAAACGTCACGCTTGCATTGCTTAATGTCACAACTCAGACTGCGTTTTTTGGTCTAAACATATGTTTCGGCATCGTCATTCGCTGAGCTGCCTCCGTGAGTTGCCCTGATTGGCTCTCCAAGTGGTGTGCGTGAAAGTAGACGCACAGACTTTTTTAGAGTGTGGGGCCCTAGATTCGTCATACACAAAGCTTGGGCTCTGAAGTTTACGGAGCGCGCAGATTGGACTCTTGCGACGACGACACCGCGGGCTTTTGCCACCGATGTCCAGTCGGTGCCCCCCCCCCTCGAACGTCCGGCCCCAACTGTGTGTGCCGATTCCAGAGCCCGTGGAAGCCCAAGAGTGGCAGGCGACATTTCATAGAGGCTCGCCTATCTTCTGGGCTAATGAAGCTTCTACAACGCCTCAGAATTCAAGCCTCCTAGCGAAACGTCAGTCGCCAGCTCGTTTTCAGGCTTCTTTACAGACCTCATGGCATCAATAAAGCTCTGGCAAACAGCAGAATCTTACAAATTTTACGAGCATATCTTCTAGCAGTTTAATAACGGCCACTTTGTGTCATTTCAGTCCGTGCTGCAGTCATAGATCTGTCTTAGTAAGGCCGGTAACGACTAATAACGGCCACTTTGTGTCATTTCAGTCCGTGCTGCAGTCCTAGATCTGTCTTAGTAAGGCCGGTAACGGCCAACATTTCCGTGTGGCTGAGCAGCTTCAAATTGGCGATATCGTCCCTGATCGTGACGCTCGACCATTCCTTGAGGGAGGGCCGCCCGCGACAGCTGCGGCTCCAGGAGCACTTGGGGCTGGTAGAAGGGCGGCGGGTGAGCAACCCAGCTCGTCCTCCTCTGGTAGTGACCCAGGTAGACGTCCGACTGCGCAGGCACGACCGCCATCGGCGACGCATTCGCAGGTGCGAAGTTCGGTGGGTCATAGTCGCGGGGCTTCCTGCTCATGCGGCGTCTGCGGTGGTAGTTGCCGTCCTTGAACATGTCCTGGTAGGCCGGATGCAGGCACCAGAAGTTGCCCTTGCCGTCGGATGCGTCCTCGCGCGGTACCTTGACGAAGCATTCATTCAAGCTCAGATTATGCCGGATGGAATTCTTCCAGCCGCGTTGATCGGTTTTGAAGTAGGGAAAGCGGGCCATGATGGCCTTGTAGATGTCGCTTAGGGTCATGCGGCCTCCAGGGGCCTCCTTGAGCGTCATGTCAATGAGTGCGACGTACGAATACGGTGGCTTGGTGTTGGCGTCCGCGGTCCTGTCGCTGCTGGCGGACGAGCACGGCAGCTGTGGTTCCGGCAATTCCGGTGAGCGGTCGTCGTAAGTCACAGTGTTGGCGCTGGCAGCGGCGCATTGGTTGCCACGGGGCTCTTCAAGCAGCCAGGGGTCCCCTCCGGAGAGCGGTCCCAACTCACCGACATCTGTAAGGAGAATCCTCGTAACGACGGCTGCAGGACCCTGAATAGCACCATGAACCGACGCATTCGCTCGCTATATTTAGCGGGGAAATTCACGTCACGTTACCTTAACACCATTTCAGTTTCCCCGCTAAATTTCTCGCTAAATTTCGCCGCTCTATTTAGCGGCACAATTTTCCCGATAAATTTAGCGGGGACATTTTCGCTAAGTTTCCCGCTAAATTTAGCAGGGAAAATGTTGGTAAATTTCCCGCTAAATTTAGCGGGAATATTTCCTCTCTAAATTTAGTGGGGAAATTTTCGCTTAGTTTAGTGGAAAATTTACCGAAAATTTCCTTCTAAATCAGGCGGGAGCAGGAGAGGAGGAGGGGAAGATACGGAGGTGGAGGAGGCGCATATACCTCCCCTCCGAAACCTCACCTCCTCCTCCTCAATAGCTGCGCTCTAATTCTGCATTACAGAAGATTGTAAACGTCTTTTTTTTTTTCTCTCTTTTATTTAGGGGACAGCACCGGAAGCTTGAGGCAGGCCCTTGGAGGCAAAAAAGACGGCCTCCACCGATCAAGGCCCTGGGCATTGAGCATGACGTTTCACGCACTGCAGTGAGGGTGGATACTTATGCAAATGACATTTGCATAAACGTTTTGTGGTACTTCACACTAGCCACTATGCTTGAATACCTTTATTATGTGTATCAACGAATGTGCTTTTACGTAATGTGACATGAAGATTTCAGACCCTCTGGTTCCGTTCATAAGCAACTCGAAGTGTATTCCAGTAAATACCCAACATTTCCAAGAACAACAAAAAATTAACGTTTGTGTTTATACTGGTTGGTTTTACGCTGTAGATTAGAAATTTATGGCGAATTCCCTGGTCGTTTTGGAGCGCGCCGGGATTGACTTTTCTGCCGCGCCTATTCACTGGGCGATCGGGATCGAGACTGACGTGTTTCACTTGTCCTTTTCGGATCAACTCTCACTCCGGATCTCTATCCGGATCCGGGAAATGTCGCTCCGTCGATTTCAGCGGATTTGACCGGAAGCCAGCCTGGCCAGCCCTCGGCGTGCTCACGTGCCTTCCTTACTGGCGGGGCATCTCGCCTCGAAACAAGGAGGTTAGAAGCATAGGTAGGGCGAGGGTAAGACGCTGCAACTCAAGAAGGTGGGGCGAGGGTAAGACGGCTAGGGGAGGAGGAAGCAGACGGAAAGCTGTAGACAAGTGGGGGAAACCTCCTTCTTGTTCTTGAGTTGCAACGGACTATATATATGAGACAATGAGAGGACATGTCGTAATTTTTTTGAAGCCTAGTCACAAAAAAAAAAAAAAACATAAACAAGGAGAATGTTAACATCAACAAGATTTTGTAAACACCGAGAGGCCTATCGCGTCACCTGTCAACATTTTTTTTTTTTTTTTTCGCGGGACGAGGTGATTGGGTTGGCTGGGCGGCGAAACGAAAGTGTGTGCGTCGCGCGTTGCCGTGATGAGGCTGTGCCGTGTGGGTGGCTGCACAAATCGCAACGGTTGTACTTCCACGGGGATTTCGTTTGCCGGTAGCCCGCTTATTTTGCAGTAACGCGAAATAACTAGTGACCCTCCGACGCTCAGCGATCTGAGAAAGCGACGAGTTTCGTTCCTCGGTCACCGTCGTGGCAAGGACGACCCCTTGGAGGAGGATCCGAGTGTGCTGACTCTGGGATTCTGTGCACTTCAAAGCAGATGACAGAAGCGTGTCGAAGAAAGTGTAGAGCCGGACTCCTCTAGTGAGAGTTCACACGTTGTCTTCTATTCAGGAACGCTTCCCTCCTACGCTGTTGAAGAGAAAATAGATCTGCGACGTTCGGGCGATGGAGGCGGATTTAGTTGCTACGTGCAAGAATACATCGGACGCGAACACGAGATCCTCGCGCTGCCAGTCAGTGCGACACATGTCCACTGCTAAAATACACACGAAAAGAGAAAGGAAAACAAAATTACAACAGAAAGGAAGCTGACGCGCAGTCGTCGGCCGGCTAGACATCTCAAAATGAGCAAAGTCGCCAGCATGCGCAAAGTGACAAACCGATGTTACGCATTTTCCGCTAGTCACGATATCTTTATACAGCCACACGCTTCTTCTGCTCCAATTGAAGAACATCTTCACTCCTACGTATACGATAGAACACACAATCGGCGCTCAATGTTGTTTATTTTTTTTTTTTTTTTTCAGTTGCGATGTTTATTAACGCGAGCGTCGGCCGACCTACACGAGCAAAGTCATCGCGATTATACTTTGGGTGAGTGTCCAACCACGCACCTATCAACTGTCTGTTTTGCACCCGTTCACCATTAACATAACGATGGTCGTCGATAATCACAGAGTTTCCAGCGAAGACGAGAAGTAAACGCCACGCATATACTCGCACTTGTCCAGCGCGGACGATGCGTACTTTTATTGTGTCGTTATACGTGTTACGTTATGCACCGCGTTCTCTCGTGACAAGCTCTTTCCTGATTGACTGTACAACCACCAACAACCGTGAGCATCAAGGGAATTGGGCCTCCAGTTGAGGAAGTTTATTTTGGTTTGGGGTGAGAAAGCGTGAGAAATGGGAGAGCGTCAAGAAGCTGGCTTGCTAGAGCTACGCGGGGCTCACAGGGCTGACCTGTGGGGCTGACATCGTGCTCTCTCCATGTCTCCTAGCCTCCTCGCCTTAAAAGAATTCGTAATGGCCGCTCGTGAAATGCCGCCCGCTTTACTGCTGCTGCTGCTTGATGAGAGTTCGTGGTCAAGTTGTTAGAGCAGCTCCTCCAGCAGCACGGCTCGAGTAGCAGCGATGACGAGGATTGCTTGTATACCTCCCACATGAATTCGGCCGCCTTTTCAGACTTCCGCAGAAAAGGCCGGAAATCTAAACGTACTTCGACATCGTTCACGAGTATTACAATGAAGAAGCAAGTAGGCTATGCTGATACACATCGCTTATCGACGCGAATCTTTCACATCATGGTCAACTTCGCTCGTGCGTCAAACACGCGTTGTTAGCGCCGCGATTGGGAAAACATGTGCTTCGAGATTCGGGACCGCGGGAAGGGGATTCCCGGGGAGGTGAATGACGAGAAGGCATCCCCCCCTATTCCGGAGAAGTGGTCATGTTCCACGGGTGATCCGTAGGCGGAGCAACTCCGTTCGGATCGCGTGCTCCATCTCGGATCTGGTCTACTGACCCCGGCGCGCTCCAAAACGACCTCTGGAATTCGCCATTAGCCAGTTCTGTACGACTGCTAGCCTGGCGCCTTTAGCGTGCACCATGCAGTAGTGAAACACGACCGCACGCCGGTACGATGCTCATCCAGATCGAAACGGGCAGGGGTGGGAATTGAACCCAGGATTCCCTGGGTTCTGCAGCGCAAACTTTCGCTCCACGTGCTCCGAACTGCGGTGTGAGGATCGGTGGCCGACACTGTCGGCCACCGATCCTCAGAAGTGAAATGTCAATGAGCGCATACCGCAGCGCGGCGCTCTCGGAACACCAATTACTTGTCTTCATTGAATGGGATAAAGGGAAGCCGAAGAGGTTCTTAAAAAAAAGGAGTAACAGGTTAATTCTAGAGTATTTTCACCCGGTGGATCTGAGTATCACGTTCATTTTCTCCGATGTAACTAAACGCGAGAAAACACGAAAAACCTCCGACCGGCCGTTACGTCATAAAAGGATCTTTCGGCCGCCAAGTAGGCGTCGCTCGTAGGCCAGCGCGTGCAATTGCAAGCTTGCCAGGTATTGGGCAGGAGATCGAACTATAGGGGGCGCTTTGTCGAGCTTGTTGTCCCCACAGCCCGGTGTTTACTAACACAGCATAACAAAGAAATTGAACCTCGCCCAGCACGGTCTAGGCACGAGCGCTTCACTCTTGCCAGTGCTTTGATCGCACGAGGAGCGGCCTTCGAATCGTCGTCTTCGATTTCTCGGATCAAAAACAAACAAGAAAATGGGGTTTGTTGTCCCCACAGCTGCAGCGCACCGCTAGAGGCGTGACTGTTCGATCTCCTCCCCAATATTCCCCCGCACTGGCACCAGTCGTGACGTCTTTTTCTGACCTTTTTTGAAAATAGCGAGAGCGCGCGTGCATGTAGCTCTGATGGGCGCTAAATATGCGTGATAGCGGAGATTCCGAAAACTCCTTTCATGACGTAACGCTCCGGGAAGCGGTGCTTTGAAAATGAGTTTCTACATCCTCCGTGCACCAAATTGAGAAATAATTTCGATATTGGGGATCCTGGAGGCCAAATGAGGGCGATTTAAGTGTTTCCACTCAAATACAAAACCGCTTCAACTTCCCTTTAAATAAAGACAAGCGTCCTTCTCTTACAATAAGCCAACGATCGGTATCCTACTCCGGTGGTAATTTACACGCCTTCTTGCCACTGAGGCTGCATGACCGTTCGGGCACGGTGCCTCTCTTCTCGGTCATTGGCGAAAGGCTTATCGAAGTCCCACGATTGGTGTCTAAAGTTCATTGTGGTGCCGTCTATATAATTGGGAACTTCTGGAAGCACACCTCACGCGCCGAATCTTTTCGTCTCGTAGCGATCGTCACTCTTGTAATACGAGTAAGGGGAACGATAACGATCGTCAGATTCGTTGACAGTGGTCACCGCGCGGGTGGCTAAGTGAGAGGGAACACTAGCGGTTGATAGGCGACAGGTTCGGTGAGCAGAAGGGAATGTGGAAGGTCTGCCGGCTTCGACGCATAGCGGTCCATGCAGACAAAATATCAACAGGTTTGGTAAATAGCCTATTTACCTTTCTCGGAAACATCCATGGGGTCTCGCCAAACACGCTGGCCGCCAGTCGCGACAGTGTATCGAGTAGCAGCAGCAACGCGTACACGTTCAAGGAGAATCCGTCGCCGTTCCACGCTGCCCGCCTAGTCAGAGGCTTCTGATTGGCTGGTCAGGGCCTGACGTCAGCTTGAAACGCGGCTGCGGTCGAAAGTTGCGACCACAACCAGACGAACGGGGAGCTTCCCCGCTCTCATAGACGCATCAAATAACGTTCCCTTCGAAAGCTTGTTGTTCTTTTTTGCTGGTCTCGCTCGTCGCTTGCTAGCTGCCACAGGCGCGATTACCCTATTATCCGGCTAAAAGTCGCAGTTTTCTGCCATAATTTCGGTCGGTTCGTTTTATACAACATCGCGAATTTTTTTTAATATGATAAGTATGAATTTTAGCTGTGCAAAATGTATGCCGTACCGACATGTAGAGAAAATGGTGCTGCTTGTGCCTTCGTGCTAGTACGCCCCCACGGGTGACTTGTCTCTTAACTGTAGATGAGAAATTCAGCCAGTGCAGTACAATCGCTACGCTGGGGGTCTTCAACGTGCACCACGCGGTAGTGATTACACGAGCGCGTGCCGGTACGAAGCTCATTCAGATCGAAAAGGGGCAGGGAGTGGGGATTGAACCCAGGAGGTTTTGCAGCGTACTGAACAACAAAGCATCCCGCCTATGGCCCGCACTTCTGGCGGTCAGAAGACAATCCGAAGCGTGGCGGCCTACGTTAACGGTTTAGAAAGTGCAACTTACACAAAGTTTCGACTTATAGACCGGGAAATATGCCACATCTACTTGCACTTAAAAAGAAAAGAAGTGGATCCGGTACGGGCATAGTACTTGCAAAGGATCTAAGTACACATACAAGATACTTCAACAAACGCATATTTAATTACGAACTAAATTTCACTCTAGACAAATATATCCCAATGTACAGTACAAATACAACAAAGGGTATTTCAAAATCTTCATGTAC